TAACATAACATAACATAACATCACGCCTTTTATCCCCGAAGGGGTAGGCAGAGGTGCACATTATGCCACTGTACAATGTAACACCCACTTTTCACTATTTATGTTATGAGTCCCATGTAATAGGGGGTGAGCCTATTGCCATATACCGGGCACAATTCCAGACTCCGTGCTACTACTGAGAATTTTGTAAAAACCCAGTAATACTTTGCTCGACCCAGGAATCGAACCCGAGACCCCTTGCCCGGCAATCGCACTTGCGACCACTCGGCCAACGAGGCAGTCTAAAAGGATTTACAATTCTATAAATTGTAACTTGATAACTTTCATAACTTGTAACTACTTATATTAATGTAACAGTCCGGACTTACAAATAGTTGATGTTAATTTAGACAATACTAAGCATACATACGGACATACAGCGAAAGCGACTTTGTTTTATACTATGTATTGATGATTCATGCATTGCACTACTCAGTAAGCTGTATGTACCTACGCACTCAGTGGCAACATTGCTTTTTTGACCCAGACGGGAATGTGTCACTATTGATAAGCCGTTCCCATCTTTCAAAGATGACGTAACGATACGTAATTGGGTAGTTTCCTAGGTCAAAAATAAATTATTTTGACTTTTGAAAGCAATAAAATATTCAAAAACATACAGCCGAATTGAGAACCTCCTCCTTTTTTGGGAAGTCGGTTAAAAATAATAGTACTTTCATTCATTGATTTGACTATTTACTTCAAATTTTTAATTTTTCTAATTAACTTTCAAGAAACAAGTGTGCTATTTGACGCAAAAAATGGTGACGTTTGGCGTAGATTCCTGTTTCTATTTATAAGTTACATATATAATTTCTAATTATAAGTTTGTAATCGCTAACCCGCATTGAGCAAGCGTGGTGATTAATGCTCAAACCTTCTCCGTGTGAGAAGAAGCTTTGCTCAGCAGGGGGCATTAATAGGCTGTTGATGATGATGAAGAGTCTTAACGCTTTCTCTCGTCTCACCCAAGACGGGAGAAGTAATTCGATGTTTTTCCCCCGTCAATAATCTCTGCTTGATTTTATCATGGTGTCTTCTTCCAGATCCACGCTCCCGTGTCAGTGTTAAGAGACTACAGTGAGATTCTGAAGCTTAGGATGCCGATGAAGGTAAATATTATGCAGTAACACTTGTAAACTAAACTACTAATGATATCTTAGGCGCAGGACTCGTGTTATGGCTTTATATGGTTCTAGACAAGGGCTTCGCTTCAGGTAGAAGATGAGATACCTTACTTATGAATGTTGTTCTTCAATTTTTGTCTGGACGTAATTAGATTTTGAACTGTGACCTTCGAAAATGGTAAAGAACTTTGGCTATACATAATAAGTTTCTTTGCTGCCTTGTAGGTAAATGCTATGTTATTGAATAACAAGCAGGCTAGTCTACTTAGTCCAAAAAATCCTGATTTTCTATTGTTGTACTGAAAAATTGTATGTAACATATTCAGGTAGAAAATACATACCTAAAAATCACAATAAAAAGTTATTATGATTTAGAAAATCTAGTTGCGATCAGACATATATCTTCAAACAGTAGTTCAATAGTTTCCTTAAACATTTGTTAGGCTGTGGTCTGGTTGAAGTGGAGCGACAGTGACTGCGGGCAACTCTTGATCGACAAGTTCACCGCATCTTTTGGTCCACATTCGGTACTGTGGGAGTATTTTGTAAGTTGGACGCGATGCTTTGCGTTCACAGCAAGCTGGAGAGCAGTTTGTTATGAAGCTGTTGAATAAGCGGCTGATATTCGCTCTGCATTAGTATGACAATTTAGCTTCGATCTGTCAGCCATTGAGCAGAGTGTATCGACCTCGAAGTCAGCTCTAAAAGAGGCTTTTTGATCAGAGGCCGTATTACGAGTTTGATTTACGTTTAAAGTATTCGAAACGAGTACTTTAAACCGTTGTAATCTGATTGGCCGGCACCAATAAACCAACCAATCAGAGCGCCGAACGCGTACTCGTTACGATTACTTTAAGCGTAAAACAAACTCGTACTAAGGCCTCTGATGGTGATTTCATGTGACGAAATAAAGCCACAAGTCATCTATGTTCTATAATATCCAGTATTACTTTCTGCATCATGCGTAATGGAAAACTATACTTGGTTTAACGTCACTCAGAAAACAAAGTTTAGCTTGATGCCTTCCATCAGACCTAAGATGCTCTGTTTCGCAGATTTCGCTCTCGCTGTCGCCTTGCCTCAATGTCGTGACATCATAGCCTTAAATATATAAGCTTTTCTATAATAATATCTATATTGAGGAACAAAATTGATCAGTAAGGTTTGATCTAATACAATTTTCTTTTTCAGAACCATTAGGATATATTTCTTTAATAACTTTACAATTTTTAGTTTCATCGTGTGTTTAGTTTCGTATAGAGTGCAACATTAGTATAAGAATGTTAACAAATGCATTAGTTATGTTGTGTCGGATGTCGATATTAGATGTTTGTTGATGTTGTTGGCACAGCACTAATATGTCGTGTACAGTTTAATGTCCTAGACACACTTAATGACCACAAATCATACTAGAAATAAAAGTTCATTTATCAAAAATATTTAAAAAGTGGGAAACATCAATCTGAAATAGAAATTGAACCATAACGCAACAGAAATAAAGTTCTAAATCATATACATCAGTCCTTGTTGTGTACTAACTAAGGCACAGTGTACACTGCACGCACGGTGTTATAACTGCATCACATAATGTGTTATAGGACTGCAGTAAGATAAAGAAGTCTGGTCAGGCGAATGCGATAGTGCAGGCAGCATTGTATATGTCTAAGGTATGCATCAGGTATGAGCATGGCTTTGCTAACTTGGCGCTTGGCTGGGCTCCTATAATTGTTGTTGTATGTCATGTGCGTATATTACGACGATGTGTACGCGGTTTTATAGTCGTCGCTATAAGTAAAGATTTTAAAAATTGAAATTTTGTGTACTACGGCTTCGATGATCTGATTAAAAAAAAAACTGTGTAACTTTGAAATTTTAATTAATTAAGTACGATAAAAAGTAATTAATTGCAGTCTAAGAGTAAGGTAAAGTTAAATTGTTAATAATTAATTTTATGTGTAATTTGGTTAGCATGGTAAAAATACCGTACTGTTTTATTTTTCTTATTTATTTATGTGTGTAGTAAAGTGCAAACAAATATAATTGATAGGTTCAGTACTTCAAAGTATCGGATAATAGGTGGTAGATATTTATCGCAGTTCTTTCCTAAAACGTAGAAATGGAAGGCCTTTTCTGTTTTCTTATGTAAATATGTATCGCAAAACATTCTTTGTGTTCATCCTACCGATATGATAGAAGTTAGTAGTATAGATAGTAAGTTTTTTTATAAACATATTTTATTTAATACAAACACGTGTTTGATCTCAAGATATTGTACTTAGTTTCAGGACTATAGGTTTTTAGGTTTCAGATATAAAATGCTAGATGTTTTGTGTGTTAACCGAAAAGTACTGCTATCTTACTACTATACTGGTTGAAAAAATTCTTCCTCGAAGCACATGCTATATTCTAGAATTTTTTAAAATTTATTCTAAAAGTGTGACAGAGATAGCAATAGTTTTTGAAAAAAGAATGTTGTAATACACTGGCTAACTGAGGGGGCTTAGTTCGAGTATTCTTTTTACCTTAACGCGAACGTTCAGCCCTCTGATTAGTTGGTTAATTGAAGCTGACCAATCGGAGGGATTAACGCGGTAACATTTCGATGGCGTTTAAAAAAAAAACTAGCTCTAAGCCCCTCGAAGGTGTTTGGTAATTCTTTATGTTTCACCTAAAATTAACAATATCTTACTAATTAGCACTTATTGTCTATTTTAATATATTTGTTCTAATTTTGTACAAGTATAAAGGTTATATGGTATAGTTTCATTAGTAATGAGTAGGTAATGTCATTCCAAAAACGTAAATAACATGCTACACTAGACCGTGTCATTTCTACAAAGTACAATCGGCAAAAGTTTTGGAGTCTATGTAGTTAATACTATGGAAAAAGGCAACATATCTATGGAGATAAGTTAATTCTGTTCATTAGTTAATCATGGTTTAGGGCTGATTTTTCAATGCTCAGTTAAATTTAACTGCGGAATAACTTTCAATATTTGACAATTCTTCCATACTAAAAACTGTCAAATGTCAATTTTATTCTACAGTTGAGAATTAACTGTGTATTGAATATTCGGCCCTTAGAGAAAAATATTCATAAATAAAATCGGTACACACATAATTATAAAAAATCTTCGTAGACCAATCTGTAAGAATCATAGTGATATTGGACTTATTGTATACGTGCGTACTCTATTAAATTTAATACGTTTTCATGCAGTACACCCGATATTTTGTCGTTTGTACTTTGTATACATTTCAAGTTAATAAAAAGAACACTCTGTAGTGAGATGACGCACTACATCAATTTATTTATTATTAATTTGTCAACACAGTAACTAATTCTGCTCATTTATTTAAAAAAAAGAATAGGAAAATTTATATTAAAAATAAATGTGCTACTGCCAGCTATTCATTGCTTGAAATATATGAATATACAAATATCTTTATGTATCCCAAAATTGTCTTACAACTTAAATCTAATTTATAGACTATAAAATTAATTTAAAGAGTAAAAACAGAATACGCTGTCTCAAACATATCAATACAATTATCAACCTTATTACAAAGTGAAAAGGTTGGAAATTTATTTGGTAGTATACAGCTCTTAGTGATTTGCTTCTAAGCTCCCATACTTGGCGATTTGGTTCAAAAAACATTAAAAACACACAACCAAATCTTTTAAAAAGATTTTCAATCTTATCGCAAAGTGATAGGGTAAAAATCTATTAGAATGATTTGCTACTAAATTTCCATACTTGGCGAATTAGTTCACAGCTTTGAAGGACGTGCATGAGAAGACGAACAGTTTTGTGGAACAAGTGGACGCGTGCTGGGACCAGTTCATGTCGAAGATACGCGTCGATACTGACATGTTCCCTGAGAGGAAACATAGACTCACTGCCATATACTCGAAGGACAAGGAATATTTGTGAGTATTATTGTATTGTTTAAAACTGCCAACGAAGTCTGCCAGTCAATAGGCGATTACCTTCTTTATTACTGTTCCCTTGAAAGGTTAGCAAAATTATCTCTTCGTGTTCCTGTTCTCCCATAGTTTGGAAGCAGCATACTTATATGTCCAGTTTTTTTTTTATATTTGATGGGCCGACGTTCGACCGCTATCTCGCCTATAGATAGACTAGCGGACCCGACAGACGTTGCCCTGCATATCCACTTGAATGTATAACAAAAATTTATTCAAATTAAAGTCAAAGTCAAGTCAAAGCATTTATTTCAATTAAACCATAGTTTGGTACTTTTGAAACGTCAACAAATACAAAATAAATAATAGGCTGTCAGTCAGTCCGTCAGTGAAATTAGGTGAAGCTATTAGTTCAGCCATTTAGGATTAATAACCTAGACACCTACTGCACCGCCATCTGCCGGGCTGATTTGTGAATCTAAACCATTCCCAGATCACCTTGAACACACACAAAAAAAATCATCAAAATCGGTTCAGTCGTTTGAGAGGAGTTCAGTGACATACACACTGACAGAAGAATTATATATATAAAAATTAGATAGTTTCCATAGATAGGTCCAGTTTCGCTCAGCAAGTTTTTTAGTCAGTCAGCCAGTCACTATGTAATAAGGATATGGGAATCGCAGTTAGGTCAAAGTCATTCACAGATTATAATGTTATTTTATCAGATTTCAATGTCACTTATTTGCTCAGGAATAAGGAAATATTTTTGAAAATTTTTCTCATTTAATACTTTCGTTTCCCTCACAGATCAAGTCAGTCCTTGTTCTCTAAAGATAAGGGAAGCTTTTCGCTCAGCTTTTCGCTCGATCGCTTATAACATCATTCATTATTTTTCATTTATTAAAAAACAAGGAAAACCATTGAGTTTTGAACATAACATCTTAAATATAAACATTCCCATCGTAACCTCTTTATAGGTATACTAATGAAGATAACACGATAACAACGTTAATTTTCTTGAGTTATTCACACTTTTAATCTTGTACAAAGTTGTTTAAGAACGCATTTTAGCGACCAAATTAACTTAATCAAACAAAATTAAGAATTGCCACAGATATGTAGGTATTATTTATCTGTAAAACGTCTCTTTTTACATGTTTTGCTATTTAATATGAATCTTAAAAAGTTGTAATAAGGGTTATTTTATTTGGTGACTGTTTCATAATATGTTAAATGAAATATGTCAACATCAGTCGATTACTCATTTATTTTGGAAAAGCATTGTACTATTTAATCGACTTTGAAAGGAGGTTGAGAACCTCTTTTGGAGGTTTTATTTGGTACTGCGATAATAAATCTTTAGTCATACATACATTTGCTTTATGAATCATTAGGTTTAGTAGTCCACCTACAATAGTTGAGGCGCCTCGCAGTCATTACGTTTATTATGCACAATTGCAATGAGTATGATTTCAATAATTGTGGTCAGCACTCAGTGGCGTAACTATACCGTTATTTCCCTGTTCCGTCTCCTTGACTAAATATTGGTGTTACATTTTTCTCACATAATTGAACTCAACGAAAGAATGTAACCAAAAATTGTATTATGAACCTGATTAAAAAAGAGTAACCTATGGAGGTTCTTGCTCGTTCTTCTCCATGTCTACTCCACTTTGGAACGAGCAAATAGCTTCACTAGAGGACTGACCTACAGACGGTCATTACTTCTTATTATTTAATATTCAAAAGTGCCTTCCTGGTCTAATTGAAATGAATGATTTTGACTTTGACTTAACCTTTAAAATAATTAACCTTTAATTTCAGATTCGACACGACAGCTGAATGTTTCTGGACGCCTTCCATTCGCTCGCGCATCGTTCAGTTTATTCTCGACAGGAAGAAGTTCTCAGAGGCTACCAATGACGACTTCGCCTTTGGCATCACAAGACTGATATCTAATTGTACTTATAGCGCTGCCTACCCACTACACGATGTGAGGAACATTTTATATTACTACGAACAGAAAAAAAATCGAATTAAGATCTTTGACCTTTTCATTCTTCGATTCTCGTATTATCTTACTGAGATGACACCAGATTGTGATACAGATTGTTAGTAACAATTGATGCACAATGTGGAGTTGCGCAACATTGTTGCTGTAACATTGCGCAACTTCGCGCAATGTGTAGGTAATCTTGTGTTATAATCGTACTTTGGACACCGCAACATGTCACGCGTCAGATACGATGTTTTACTTTAGGTATCTGTGCTCTGATTGGTTGGTTCATTAGAGCCGGCCAATCACAGCGCCGAACGCGTACTCGTTACGATTATTTTAAACGAAAAAGAAACTCGTACTACGGCCTCTGGATTATTGCAGTCCAAAGTAGTGATAATTGTCCTAAGAATATTCTATAATTCGCTTTTATTATTATCTCTGAAACAGTACGCAAGGCTAACAATAAACAAAAAAAGACACACACATACACATAACATCACGCCTTTTATCCCCGAAGGGGTGGGGTAGGCAGAGGTGCACATTATGCCACAATACAATGTAACACCCACTTTTCACTATTTATGTTATGAGTCCCATGTAATAGGGGGTGAGCCTATTGCCATATACCGGGCACAATTCCAGACTCCGTGCTACTACTGAGATTTTTTTTAAAACCCAGTAATACTTTGCCCGACCCGGGAATCGAACCCGAGACCCCTTGCCCGGCAGTCGCACTTGCGACCACTCGGCCAACGAGGCAGTCACCGTCCTCGAAAACTATCGAGCGTCCTCGAAATCTATCGAGCGTCCTCGAAAACAATCGAGCGTCCTCGATCGCTTTCGAGCCTCCTCGAAATCAGTCGAGCGTCCTTGAAAACAATCGAGCGAGCTCGAAATCTATCGAGCATCCTCGATCATTTTCGAGCGTCCTCGAAATCTATCGAGCGTCCTCGAAATCCATCGAGCGTCCTCGAAAACTATCGACCATCCTCGAAATCTATCGAGCGTCCTCGAAAACAATCGAGCGTCCTCGAAATCAGTCGAGCGTCCTCGAAAATAATCGAGCGAGCTCGAAATCTATCGAGCATCCTCGAAATCTATCGAGCGTCCTCGAAATCAGTCGAGCGTCCTCGAAATCTATCGAGCGTCCTCGAAATCTATCGAGCGTCGTCGAAAACTATCGAGCGTCCTCGATCACTTTCGAGCGAGCTCGATCGCTTTCGAGCGTCCTCGAAAACTATCGAGCGTCCTCGATCACTTTCGAGCGTCCTCGAAATCTATCGAGCGTCCTCGAAAACAGTCGAGCGAGCTCAAAATCAGTCGAGCGTCCTCGAAAACAATCGAGCGAGCTCGAAAACTATCGAGCGTCCTCGAAAACTAACGGGCGTCCTCGAAATCCACAATGGCAATCGGCGTCGCCCATGGACATCTGGAACGCCCGACGCGTTACAAGTCCGTTACCGGCTTTTTGGGATTAGGATCGTTGTGGATTCAGGGATTGGGGAGATTGGGGAAGGGGAGGGTAATTGGGCCTCCGGTAACCTCACTCACACGACGAAACACAACGCAAGCGTTGCTTAGTTGTCAACTACTGTATTATAGGTTTCCAACCGAGGAGCCAATCACTAGGTGGTAAGCAATCAGCGCCGCCAATGAACCCGAACCACCAGAGTTACTAACTCGTTAACACCCTTTTACGGACTTATGAATGAAGAATAGCGGGGAGAGGGAGTACTTAGTCTTCGGTCGTCACTCATACGATTAAAATACCTTTGTAACAAAGTTTCAACGAAAAATATAATTTTTTCCTCTGTCGACTAGCAGATCGATTTTCATTCAGCTTGGACAACATAACATCACGCCTTTTATCCCCGAAGGGGTAAGCAGAGGTGTACATTACGGCACATAATGCCACTGTACAATGTAACACCCACTTTTCACTATTTATGTTATGAGTCCCATGTAATAGGGGGTGAGCCTATTGCCATATACCGGGCACGATTCCAGACTCCGTGCTACTACTGAGATTCTTTGAAAAACCCCTGTAATACTTTGCCCGACCCGGGAATCGAACCCGAGACCCGCTGCCCGGCAGTCGCAATTGCGACCACTCGGTCAACAAGGCAGTCATTCATTCAGCTTGGAATATTGAATCAATCAAATTACTATCGACTTTATTGCTTTCAGCATTGTTAGTTCTAATCGAAGATTGTTATAGCAGTCTTATCATTCAGAAATGAAGCGTTATTATGATACATTGTCTTAGTCAATTGTTTCAAATTCCTTAATACTATAAGTGCATATTAATTTGTTTTGTTTCAGGCTTATACTTCGCTTGGCTCGGTTTCTACACACACATGCTCATACCAGCCTCTATTGTAGGCCTAATATGCGTTATCTATTCAGCTGCTACTGTTTACGATAATAGACCTAGGTGAGTTAAACGATATTGACACTTAGTATTATTGTATTAAAGTCTTGTTTTCTACAGGATGAAATGGTTTTCTTTCGCGGACTCAATTTGGTCCACGAATGCACTTGACAAGTTCTGATTCATAATTTTCTTATTATTAGAGTGAGGTTTGAAGTATCACTGCGTGTTTCATTAATATGTTGTGACTTCATAGTAATTAAAATATAACAAACCGAGAAGTTAAGAGGAGCCCCAATCCCTTCCCCCAAAAGGCCGGCAACATTATGTCCAAATACTCCAACGCTACTCAATTTTATGTCGCGCTTAAGTACAGTTCTGTCGCTACAAATTATTTGGAAAATGACAGAGCATAACATAACTTCACACCTTTTATCCCCGAAGGGTTAGGCAGAAGTATACATTACGGCACTTAATGCCACTGTACAATGTAACGCCTACTTTTCACTATTTCATGCCTATTGTAATACACAGGGCACATTTACAGACACCGCGCTACTACTGAGACAATAATACTTGCCCGTAAAATGTAATACACCTACGTCGGAATACTCAAACGCTACTCAAATTTAAGTCGCGCTTAAGTATAATTCTGTCTCCACAAATTCTTTGTAAAATGACAGAGATGGCACGATATTTAAGCACGACTTAAAATTGAGTAACGTTTCAGTATTCCGGCACTAGTTATTTATTGTTTAATTCTTATTTCAGTGAAGACGTATGCAACTACAACTCGTCAGTGAAGATGTGTCCGCAATGTGATTATTTCTGCGACTACTGGGACCTGAAGGCGACGTGTCTACAGTCTCGAATTACCTACCTCTTTGATAACCCCACCACTGTGTTCTTCGCTATATTCATGAGCTTTTGGGGTGAGTTCTTAAATTTAAATTGTATTGAAATTATTAAATTGGATGTAGTTCACTTAGTATCAACGAGACAAACTGCAAACTGCCTTGTTATTGACACAAAAGACTTGGAAACCGAGATTTAAGTTAACTTAGTCATTATTATTTCACTAAAATCGGTGCCACTAGTTTTTTCTTTTATAATAATACATATTAGCATCTATCTCGCACTGACAAAGATCTATTCATAAATTTTCTTCTAGGTTTCTCAAGACTTTGTTTTGGGGTCGGCTTTGTATTGTTTTGTTTGAGTATTTTGACTTCTGTATTTCATAACTGCATAAGATTGAGGTCTGTTTTACATCATTATAACCATATCAATTACCAATAACCATATCAATATAGTAGTGGTGGCCCGGAGGTTTAAGACGCCCGCTTCTCGTGCATGAGGGTACGGATTTGAAACCTACCATCGGCAAGTACCAATGTGACTTTCCGAGTTATATGTATTTTCTAAGATTATCTAGACACCACTGACAAACGGTGAAGGAAAACATCGTGAGGAAACCTGGGCTTATAATTTCTAATTATAAGAGTTTGTAATCGCCAACCCGCATTGAGCAAGCGTGGTGATTAATGCTCAAACCTTCTTCGTGTGAGAAGAGGCTTTGCTCGGCATTGGGCATTTATAGCTATTGATGATGATGAACTATATCAATTTGTATTTTATTTACGTAGGCGCATGTTTCCTCGAGCTTTGGAAGCGATACTCGGCTGAGATGACACACCGCTGGGACCTGACTGGCTTCGACGTGTACGAGGAACATCCCCGGCCGCAGTATCTAGCGCGACTGGCACATGTCAAGAGAACACAGGTATACTTGTTATAGTTGATGAAAAGTCGGTCAAAAAGTTGAAAAGTAGCTTACAACCCTTTTTGTTAGCGAGTCGGTAATAATTATGGATTATGCCCCCTTGCTCTTTTCCAAATATCTTTTTTTTTTTCATTTGGGTGGAAGAGATATCCGGCGTCAAGGATTTAAGACCAGCTCCTTGATCACTGGTTTTCTGCCTAGATAACTACCACCATTGAAAACCATATTAGTCACTAACACCTATCTCTTATTTTCAGTTAAACGTGGTAACAGGAGAAAGAGAGCCAATGGTACCATTCTGGCGCATGCGTCTCCCAGCAACTCTAATGTCATTCAGTGTAGTCGCTCTACTAGTCCTAATGGCCCTGGCCACGGTGTTAGGGGTGGTCCTATATCGGATGTCCCTTTTGGGCGCCACAATATTGCGCAATGGAAATGCTCTGACTACGTACAACCCTATAATGTTTACTACGGCGACGGCTGCCTGCATTAATTTATGCTTCATCTGTTTGTTCAATTATGTGAGTATTTTTTGATTTTTGTTTTATTGGTTTTGGTCCCATTTGGGCGCCATTATGTGGTAATAAGTATATGTGCCTTTTTTGATGTTATAGTGCGTCAATGCCTCATGACTGATAATAGGTTTTATAGTTTACGTAAGAGTTTATGACTTCTGTTTCCATAAGTCCAAAAATTGTATTCAAACTGTTTTCTTAGCGAGTCCCATTTGGGCGTCAATTAGAAACAGTACTTATTTTTTTGAAAAGGATTATTTTAAACGTTACTCATGCTTTATCCATCCACAATGCAGACAATGCTTGACTGCACGATTGGTGCTGTGGCTAGGCAACCGGCCGCCGCACAACGTGTAGCGGGTTCGATTCCTGCACGGAGCAACTCTTGGTGTGATCCACAGTATGTTGTTTCGGATCTGAGTGCCATGTGTGTATGTGCAATGTTTTTTTAAAAAAGGAAAAAAAAAGAAAAGAAAAAAATCCTAAGAAAAGTACAAAATGTCCACTATATTCACACATACTATTCATATCTTAAAATCCGCAAAATATCTACTAATTTAGAACTCATTATAATCAACATAAAATTCTCTCCTAGGTCTACCAATATTTAGCGGAATGGCTAACGGAAAAGGAACTCTTGCGCACACAGACAGAATTCGATGACTCCCTAACTCTGAAGATATATTTACTGCAGTTTGTGAACTATTACGCGTCCATATTCTATATAGCGTTCTTTAAAGGCAAGCTCATCGGTCGTCCGGGAGATTATGTCAGATTGTTTGGACATAGACAGGAAGAGGTAAGGGGACTTTAAAACTGTTTTAATATGTATAATTTTGACTTTGTCAGTGATTGGAGTATCGTTAATGCGATATCTGACCATGTATTAGAAATTGATGTCGTTCCAGTTCGATGTTCGGGACAGGTAATGTGTTGCAAATTTACACAAAATATGGGGTTTTTCTTTTGTATGAGATAATGGAAAAACTAAAACCGATATATCAAATACACGTAACGATGTTAAAAAAGTTGTTTTTTATAATAACTATCGTAAGAGAAATTAAATTAACTAAAAATCGCGGGTTACTCTCGTCAATATACTGAGAAAAGCATACTGGAGTAGGCTGCGCGATATCGCCGCGACCGCGCACGCCGCTCGTGAGGAAGAACCCCTCTGTGGTTCGAAACTAGTAGAGCTTTTCTCAGTATATTCACGTGAGTAACCTGCGATTTTTAGTTAATTAAATTAATGAATTTTAATATTTATTACCTAATCAGTAAAGTTGTGTTTTCTTTACAACATACTTAATTATTGTCATTGCAGTGTGCTCCAGGCGGGTGTCTACTAGAGCTGTCCATCCAGCTGGCGATCATAATGGTGGGCAAGCAGTTCATTAACACCATCGTGGAGATGCTCATGCCGTACTTACTCAAATGGTGGTACGTCATCAGGACTATTGGGAGGAAACGACAGTAAGAACCAAGAAATTTGTAATATCTAGTTGTAAATTAACCTTGTTTTTGCGGTTTGTTAAATTGGCTTGAACTGGTTAAGGATAAATGAAAATATAGTCAGTATACAGTTAAGTTTCTCATGTCGGAATACTGAAACGTTACTCGCGCTTAAGTATAGTTCTGTCTCTACAAATTCTTTGTAAAATGACAGAGATGGCACGATATTTGAGCACGACTTAAAATTGAGTAACGTTTCAGTATTCCGACATCAGAAACCAGAAATCAAGATCATTTTAGATGTAACTCGACTATTATGTTTTGTTGAGTTTACTGCTCAACCCTCGCTGCGTCATGTCTGTGAGCTCTTGGTGTGGCCTGAAACTGGTCGAGTTACCTTGTCAACAGTTAGTTAGTTGTACAAAATAATTAATTTAAATAAAAATATCTCTAAATCTTAATATATCTCAGTTGTGTTGTTTATATTTATTACAGAATAAAGAGTCCCTTACAATGGGTGAAGGATTTCAAACTGGTCGACTTCGGTAACATGGGATTGTTCCCTGAGTATTTGGAAATGGGTAAGTTAATTATATCAATGCTACTATTTAATAATAAAAAAAAACGTTTTGCATTACAGTATCTAGGTACAAAATGAACTGCTTCACTATGAAACTACAATCCTCAAGATGTCTGCAAAGCGGTGAGAGGGGGATCCAAATGTGATTTTCCCTGCTTCGAGAGATATTGTGTTTAACAATATCCGAAACAAAGAATCGGGTGGGGCTGTGCCTGCCGGGCCACGCGGCCGTTGATTTTAACAGCGAGAGCGCTGGGTTCGCATAGTTAACACAGTATCCCCCCCCTCCCCCCCCCGCCACCCCGCTCGACCCCGACACGAACTCAATGTCATAAAGGCGCGGGCATGCTGTGCACGGGCACGGGTGTAATAATTAGTTTGACAACGAGGGTCTATGTTTCCACTGTAGTACACGAATATGTACCACGACTACGTACAGCGTGACACGGTGCATCTGGGCCTGCTCGGTCGTGGTATCACTCCGGTCGAGCCGGCCCATTCGTGCTGAAGTATGGTTCTCCTACACTTCAACTGACTGAAAACTGCGCTGCGATAAGTGAGCTGTACATGGTTGAGGGTCATATTCGTGTACTCCAATGGAAATGTAGACCCACGTCGACAGCGTTGAGCTATGGAACTGCCTATTTGAGCAAGCCACGCATGTGTCAATGACGTCAATTCATGCGTAGCCTCTCCGTGGGTTGCAGTGGACACAACCACTTACATTTTCTTCCAGAGCGAAGCTTAATACACGTGTGTATCCTCTCCGTGCACCGCGGTGGGCCCGCGCCCTAACAGCGAGCTGACTATATAAGTGAAATATTCACACCACATTTGTTTCTAAGACTAATAGTTTTTTAATTATTAAGGTACGATGATATAGACCTTTTCGTTACGGTACACTTTTTAAACCTGGTACCCGTATGTTTCGGAGCGATTTTAAAGACGTTTCAACCAAAAATAAACGTCAATAACCAATCCTTATGTAAAATCTCTGGATGTATTTCGTTTATGACAGAAACTCCATATAACTAATGTCAAAAATCGAGTATTAATTCCAGCTGTAAGAGAGAAATAAAGTTTATGTTTAAATGTTTGTCCACAGTCCTACAATACGGTTTCGTGACAATATTCGTAGCGGCGTTTCCCCTGGCACCTCTATTCGCCCTCATAAACAATGTGCTGGAAATGAGACTGGACGCCAAGAAGTTCCTAACTTGCTACCGCCGGCCCGTGCCGCAGCGAGTCAACGATATAGGCGTCTGGTACCGGATACTCGACTCTATTGGGAAACTCAGTATTATTACTAATGTAAGTATTAATTACTAGCTTCTGCCTGCGACTTCGTACGCGTAATCCCGTTTCTCCCATTCCCGTATCTATTCATATCCCATTAGGATTTTCAGGACTTTTTTCTGAGACTTGCCGTGAGTGAGGTTACCAAATTATCCCCGAATCCCCGAATCTTCCACAATCCTCAAATTCCCAATTTCCAAAAGGCCGGGCGGCGCCGATTGCTTACCATCAGGTGATCCGTCTACTCGTTTACCGGTTTGTGCTATAAAAAAACTAACGTAATCTTTTTTTTTCTAGCTGATAATGGTGGTAGAAATTGTGGTCTTAATTTTACCTCTATTTTCTCAGGGTTTCATAATAGCATTCACATCGGACTTCATACCGCGGCTCGTGTATCAGTTCACCAACGGGTCCATGAACCAGTACGTCAACAATACGTTAGCAGACTTCAACATCAGCGTGTTAGAACATCCGCCCATCAAGACCACGTATAATGAAACTATGTGCAGGTGAGTTTGGACTTTATTTTGTTGAACGTAGGGCTGTGTGTGGCTTGTACTTTAGTGTGGTTGTTAAGTCTTAATGAAGATATAATAAGTATCGAATGCAAGACGTCTAAAAACGATACTAGCGACACTATAAGTAAATCTTGCATACTTTTTTATTTTATTTTATTTATTTTTATTATAATAACAACAGTGTACACATTGAGTTTATAACCTTTTCCCACAAAACCGGTTTAGCGGTTTGACTGTGGGTGGTGAGCCGCATTGCTTTACATACACTTATATATTGTATAAACTACTAATAACATTATAACTATTCAAGTATTTTACAGAAGTATTTCATTAACTTAATTTTAAACAGTCTTATGTTATTTTCTTGTCTGATGTCGGCCGGCAAACTATTAAGGACATATGGTACACGTTTCTTTAAAGTTCTGTCGCCAAAGTAATTATGAACCCTGGGAACGTTTTATTACTGGGACTGGAACTGAACTGGGAACTTATTAGATATTCTGATTCTTCTGTTTTATATTTTTTTTACTCACTGTTCATCTTACTTTCACTAGTCTTTTATCTTTTATTGTCTTTTCATATTGTATTTATGCTGCACCGTGCCTGGTGTGAATAAATGTTTTTCTTTGTTTCTCTAACTTTGCGAACCAACTTTAGGATTAGTCGAGTTCTGATTTAAAACTGTTTCTTCTTTAACTCGTCGAGTACCGGTTTTGTAGACACAATTATAGAACAATAGGTTGCGGTCACCGGTGACCGCTTGGTGTTTGACAGTTTAAACACAATTTTAACATGTAGGTATATATTAAAAAAATGGTACTTGGTTTCATCAGTTCTAAAAATATTTAGATATTATTGGGATTTAGGAAAACAACCATCTTCTGTATTTTTAGGAGCTTAAAATCCGACTTAAAAAGAGCTTGATGTCGGTTCCCTTTCTTGTTTATTAAAAACAATTGCTAATATGATCTTTTAAATTCCCTTGTAGTTTCCCCGGCTACTGGTACTACAAGGAGGGCGACAGCTACGAGCACAGCAACTGGTACTGGCACATCATGGGCGCTAGACTCGCCTTCGTCGTCGTATTCGAGGTAACTAACCGTTTTATTTGGAAAAACAAATCTAATAGAAGGTTTTTTCACTTTGATAGGTCAAAAGAGGTTATCCTTTTTGTAGCCAATGTTTTTTTTGAAGTAAAAATGTCTACCTAGAATACTGCCAAAAATTATTTTGTTACTTTACTATTGTACCGTGGATTATGGCACAAAAGGTAGTGGCGCTGGTTTAATTTCAAATTTCTTCTAGAAGACATCTTCTTAATGAAAGTCAGGAGCTACTATTAACCTTTCTACAACATTCCTCTAGGAGATTGCCAATTACTGTCTCGTTTTGCTATTTTTGTAACTTTTTCAACAGAACGTGGTGGCATTAGTGATGATAATAGTCCGATGGGCTATCCCGGATATGTCAGGGGAGTTAAGAGACCGGATAAGACGCGAGGCATACGTGATAAACTCGTTCATACTGGAGGAGACGCGCGCGCGGTCCGTGCGAGACCAAGGTGCCGCTCACTCCACGCCCGTATAGTTACGTACGGTACGCACGCAAACGCTTCGCTCGATTACTTTGTTTTTTACTAACCGCGGATGTATTTCATTGGTTTTTTTACTTTAGTTTTTGGTTAGATATAGGAGAAAGATTTGTTTTCTTGTGATCGTGTTAATCGATGTCGATTTTTGATGGTAGTTCTATTGAATTATTGTCGGAAATGTGGATCGATTAATTTCAGCGGTAAGATATTGATAAGTCATAGAGGATAGTTGTATAAGTATTTAAGATTAAAATATTTATTTTAGTTGTTTAATGGAATTGACCAAAGAGCCCTTTTTAGGAATTCAAGAAACGAATATCACTATATTTTTTATGGTGATACATAATAAGTTCCTATTCGAGTGTTTTAATACCGCCATATCGTAATTCTAGTCAGATATTTTAAAATCTTATATTAATTAGTAAGTTTAATAATGTTATGTATTTCCTAGCCAATGAACTACATCCGTATGAAGACTGTGTTTTGTGTGTTTGATACTACTATATTGTGACGTCACTACTATAGTAAACGTCAAATCCCCTTTTGGGAACGAAAAACCTCCACCTAGTGTGCCAAATAACATAATTCGAGTGGTTGAGTAAGGATTGATAATGAAATTTGAGTTCCATTACGCATTTCATAAAGTTGCTTTATACATGTTTCATGTATAATATACATACATTAAGTCTTCATAGACTGATTGATATTCAAATTTGAGTTGTATTAAGCGTTACATGAGGGTGCTTTTTGACCTGTACCTACATGTCTCATAATAAGACTTGTATAATATACATTTGGTGAATTTCATGTAGTGAGTAGAATTGGTTAACGGTCGAAGCTACGTCCAACACCTGCTTGGAATTGTCCCAGCTTACTGCTTTTGAAATAATAATATTTTTATTTATACATATTTACAAAGTTCAGTAAAACGAAACGCTGTAATGGGATTGTTTTAGCTGAATTAATTGTTATGTTCTCCGGCTTACACACGTAATTATTTGACGAGGATCTTGTCAAATAATTCTCGTCAAAGAATTATTTGACGAGATTGTCACGATTTCGTCAAAGACTTCCTCGTCAAATCATTACGTGCGTAAGCAGAAAAACATAGTAATTAATTTAGTATACCTCACGAAAGTTATAACATGATTTAGCTGACTTATATGTGACGTCACATATTCAGAGCTAGACTTATGACTTACCTATTGTACTGCCGTACTCAGAGGCTTCATGATTACTCAAACTATTCCTCAGTAAGGATTTTATTCAGAAATCAACTGAGGGCTGGGTTCAGTAAACATTCAATGACTGAGTACGGCGGTATTGTACAAATACTGAAACGTTACTCAATTTTACGTCGCGCTTAATTATAGTTCTGTCACTACAAATTCTTTGTAAAGCGACAGAGATTTTTTTAAGGAGGAAAAATCATCAAATGACTTCTCCCGCCGGGTGAGGCGGGAGGGAGTGTCAGACTCTTACTGCACTTCGAACCGGAGCCCCGGTAACCCGTTGGGTTCTCCGCGGCTCCGTATCGGCATCAACCCTATTGGGCCCCATCCGTGGTGGTCTGATGGCTCTTTGAGCCAGGCGCGGAACGCTCGGCGCCGTACGCTCGGGTCTGTTTCTGGTCGGACGGGGAGCCACCCATGCTCGCCGTCCGCAGGCGCGCGCTTACGGTGGCCGGAGATCGTCCCGCGATCCCCGACGCCCGGTGTGTCCTTCGCTACGGCTGGGTTGCGAGGAGGCAGTGCTCCGCTGCCTCATGCGCCCCGCCTCCTCCTTAGCTAGCATGAAAGCGATAGAGTTGGCCCGATATTTAAGTACAACTTAAAATTGAGTAGCGTTTTAGTATTCGAGCGTTGTCAAAATGTAACTTATATTGAATTCCAGAGTATTTTCTATTTTGAGGGGGAACGAAAGAGCGGGGTTCCCCTTCGAGCTTATCATAGTGTGATAGACGTGATAGGTGTGATAGCTATCAACTGTATCATACACGCTAAATGCAGTCTTAGCTCGCGTTGTTAGGAACTTCAATTGTACTATAGCATGACGTGCTTCAGAATGTGGGTGAATTTTCATTAAACTGTTTCAAAAATGCGACTTATACTTACGTGGACTGTTCGAGAACAGCTCTACTAGTTTCAAACCATACCGGGACTCATATTCATGGAAAACGGGCGCAGTGCTGTGACGTTGCTATTAGATCTTTCTCGAATTGTTTCTCGAATTCTTGTGAAAAATTCGTAGATTTTAAATTGTTTTACGGTTTGTAAACGTTTCATAAACTAATAATAGGTATATAATGTTTTGCTGGTTTTTTTTAAATCATGATGAAAATTATAAAATATTTTAAAGCAATAATGAAAGATTTTTTTAGTGTTACTAGAATGTACATTCGAAACGAAAGGCAAAGGGCAGTTTTATGTAGTGGAGCAAGCATCCTCCATTATCATATATATCGGCATGCAGAAATCATGACCACAAAACAGTACAATCCAATTTCACCCTTAAAACCATTATTCATAAATCATAAAGTCTATTGAAGTTCCTACCAACACGTTTCAACTGATGCTCGCTTAATACTAAGTTAGTTATAAGTTTATAATTTATAAATTGAGTAAATATAAGTATTTAGTGAAGAAAAGCAGGTCTGCCGATACTGTGCGGTGCTGTGTGAGTGAACATTTTACTGTACAACTTAATAGCATGTTTGGGTACAAGGAATTGGTATTAAGAACATAGTTCAACTACTAATTTAATTTTAAAGTGCATTGGAATTGAGTAAATAGTGAGTATAAGTCAGTTTTTCGTCAGAAGATGTAAATTAGACGTTATTTCTTTACTTAAATAGTTCATTTTTTAACTATAGACAATGTAGGTATTGTCTAAAATGTAATTTTATAAAAAAAATAATTAATTATAATGTATTCGGCTTACTCACGTAACTGTTTGACGAGGAACTCGACTAGTTTCGAGCCATTCTAGAGGCTCATATTCATGAGCAGCATTCCGCGAATGATATGAGCCTCTCGAATCTAGAACAGTTACGTGAGTAAGCCGAAAATATAATAATTAATTCATTTTGTCTCACAAAACTTTTAATATAAGATAAACTTAGTATTGAACTGATTTATTTCAGATGTTTAGCCTAACTGCCGTACTCAGATTCATTCACTGGTTACTTAAACCAGTCCTTAGGAACTGTTTTCGACATCGACGCATTTATTATGGTTTGATAATTAAATAAATAATTTTCATAGATCGTTAGGATAATCTATTATATATTTCTATTTATTTTATTATTCATTTGTTCTATGATATTCTAGCAACGGACTAGTTCTGAAAATCAGCGCAGCGACTCGAGCAACCGCGGTCGGGTCACGGCATTGTAGCTGAGCACAGAGGCTTAGTACGAGTTTCCTTTTCGTTTAAAGTAATCGTAACGAGTACGCGTTCGGCGCTGTGATTGGCCGGCTCCAATGAACCAACCAATCAGAGCACAGAACGCCGTCTCGAAAAAGAAACTCGAACTAAGGCGCCTGGCCTTTTTGCACCGTGTACACTGTTCTGTTTTTAAATTTCTTTTTTTGGCTTTTTAAAGTAACTTTATTATTTATAAACAAAAGCAACAATACGATTAAACTAAAATTAATATTATAAATAACTAAAAACTAAAATGTAACACCTGAAAATTACCTTTAAAAAAATTTTAAAATTATTTATCTTGTTCTTGGTTTTTGTTTAATTTTTGTAACGGTGCAAATATCTGTTTTTCTTTTCTTGCTTCTTTCTCACTAAGAAATAAGTTTAAGTAATCATGAAATGTCTTTGAGTACTGCAGTAAGGCATTTTACATCTTAAGATAACTCTGATTCGCCGGCTCCAGTGAACCAACCAACCATAGCATCGAACGCGATCTTCCAAAATTATCATTAGTCATTTTCAATGCATTTTAATACACGAACAACACTGATTGGCTTACACCATAACGCCACGTAGTTAGTTCTAACACCGGTCACCGTTTAACCAACTTTTGAGAACCAAGCTTATCTCATTTAAGCTTTACGTATTTAGGCCGCTTCAGCTTCTAGAGTTTGATTTAAATTATAAATTGTTCTCACGGTTTTACTTCAAAATTCATGATTTATTTTGTACTATGATATAGGCCGGCAAAGGAGTTGACGGATCATCTGATGGTTAGCAATTGGTTTCGTCCATGTATCCGCAATACCGAGGAGTTACAACAGCATTGCCGGTCTTTTGGGGGAGGGATTTGAGGATTAGGGATTGGGTATAGGAGTGGGGAGGCTTATTTACAAATAGGATAAACATTTTTTTACTGATGCTTCTAAGGGTAGATTTGAATGGTTTGTGGGAATGCATGTTTATTTATATTGTTATTAAGGACAAGATCCCAAAGAATTTTAAAGTTTAGTAATATTAATTGGTTTATAAAGGACCTTTATTTGAAAACACGCTTTTTTTACAAGTTGTGTAAACGATGTCAAACTTGATTGGGCTGTAAAAATAAATCAAACATTACAATATTAGTTTCCATATCCTAATAATCTATAAGATTTTATATGAAAATACTTAATATCATAATATTGTACTTATAAATATTCATTAATAATGTTCATATGATGTACAGGCTTCATTAGAATGCTTGTTCCTTTCAAAATATTCTCTATTGACTTCAAACTTTGTTGATAAAAAAACAAACACGCTTGTTTTAAATTCAGTGTAAAATATACATGATGTTACACTTTTGAGCAACGCCCTGAACCTCATTCATTAAAAAAATATCAAGAGGCTTAAACTTAATGTTTTAGATACACAACACATCACAAGCATGTTCTTTTAAGTACTTTTCTAATATTTCTTTTTCAAAATGTATTGACACAATTTTCAAAAATTATAGGAGATACGACAGATTCGAATTGGAACCACATAGCTTCTATGTCAGGGTCTGACTTCGATTTAGCGGCCCATGGTGATCATCAGAACATCAGGGATATTGGGAAGCATGTTGTCGGCGAGATCGACAACCAACCGCCGCCTGCGCACGTCTAGTGCCTTAAAAATAACGCCATTAAACAGTACGTATGGGTTTAAAGGGAAATGTATCTTATGGGGTCGTTGAACTAAAGTGAAAATATATTTACGTGCCGTGGCGTGGCGGGGTACCGTGGCTACCAATAGACTACGACGCGACATATAAGTTTACTCTAACCATAGTAAATATGTGAAATTTATATGATTTTGACGCTCCACGCCACACCACGGTACTGTGTTTCCGCCATTATTATTTATGTATGTATAAGTATGTGTGTCCAAAGATACTGTTTTCTATGTTAACGTATAAATATTGTTATTGTTTCGTGAAACAAATGCAGTAATATATTACGCTAGAATATTTGTCAATCAATTCTTGTACTTCCTACTTGTACTACCTGTGTATGGTACTTCCATTGTTTTTTTTAAATACTGTTGTGCAGTCTTCTTTGTGAAGGGCCAATGTGGGTGACAAAATACCGCGAGATAGGTAGAAGTTATATTGTGTAATAGGGTAGTTTCCTAAATTTTATTTTAATGTCCGTCTGATAGATTATTTTAAACTTTAGACACGTATTTTTTCTTTTCTCAAAAAATTAAATATTTTCGACGATATATTGTTTTGAAATGTCGCGGGACGTCACTTCTATGTACATTTTATACGTAGAAATGACGTTTTAGCCCCCACTCTTAAACTTAGCGCCATTTTATTTATCTAAGTATTGCAACTTAATACGAGAATATAAAAAATACGTGTCTAATATTTTTTCATTATCTAACTGACGGACTAATTAGATTTTTAATTTTGATACCCTGGTAAACTACCCAATTGCATATATTAAGGCGGCTGAAATGTTTTGAGCATAAAGTATTAAAAAATGACTTCAATATGGCGAAATTTACAGTTCAATTATAAACCTTAATGACATAAAACTTGATATATAATAATTTGAGTCACCAGTACCTAACCGTAGTCTGTCTAGCAGTAGACTGTCTCGTTGGCCGAGTGGTCGCAAGTGCGACTGCCGGGTAAGGGGTCTCGGATTCGATTCCGAGGTCGGGCAAAATATAACTGGCTTTTTTTAAATCTCAGTACTAGCATGGAGTCTGGAACCGTGCCCGGTATAAGAGAATAGGCTCACCCTCTATTGCATGGGAATCATATTTAGTCACATTGTACAGAGACATTAAGTGGCGTTATATGCACCTCTGCCTACCCCTTTCATACAACTAATAATTTATAGGTACTTATAACAGCTAAAAAAAATTCAGCTGTCTTGGTAAAAATACAAGCTTAAAACATACCCACATTGATGTCCATTTTGTATCTAAATGTAACTAGCTTTGCGTGTGAGCGATATTGTCAAATATACATAAATCGATTATAATAATAGCTATTAATATAAAAATAATAAAAGCAGTAAAATGATGCTGTCCAGTCTAGTCCCTTTCAAAAGAATTAGATTTAAAGGGAAAGACGTGATCTGAGATTAACTTGCTTGATTTTGCTTGTTAAATTAAAAAAAAAACAAAACAAAATAATGTACTAGCATAACAGTATGGTATGTTAGTACATTAAGCACCGATTTTTCAATCATCAGTTAATTCTTAACTGTAGAATAACATTGACAGGTGACAGGTCTTAGTATGGTCTAAGTGTGGGAGAGCCATGCTTCGGCACGAATGGGCCGGCTCAACCGCAGTGATACCACGACCTCACAAAAAACCGACGTGAAGCAACGTTTGCGTTGTGTTTCGTCGTGTGAGTTAGATTACCGGAGGCCCAATTACCCTCCCCTTCCCCAATCTCCCCAATCCCTGAATCCCCAACGGTCCTCAAACTCCTAATCCCCAAAAAGCCGGTAACGCACTTATAACGCCTCTGGTGTTCCAGATGTCCATGGGCGACGCCGATTGCTTACCATCAGGTGATCCGTCTGCTCGTTTACAGGCTTATGCCATAAAAAAAATGGAAGAATTGTCAAAAATTCAAACTTATTATTAACTGAGGTTTGAAAAATCGGCCTTTTGTTGTGTGATTTGACCTGCTTTGTTGCAGTCTAAGGAATATAAGGTTATAGTTTAAAGTTTTGTGCAATCGCTACGGTATAATCGTGCCGTGTGACCACGGGTTAGTTAATGAATGGAGTGTTAAATAACGTGATAATTATGGTAAATAAAATTTGGATTGCTAAAAAGTGGTTAAACGTTTTGGTTAGTTGTACATTAATGCGTATTGGCACTCCAATTGTTTAGTCATCCGTAATTTTGGGATGGTACGATAAGATTAAATAAATCGGTGAAAGGGATGTGAACAGCAGTTTAAACTAAATCAATTAAGTGAAAAATCAAACATTATTTTTTTTAATAATTTGAAAAGACAATAACGGTATGTAACACAATTATTAGAGTATCTTCGATGTTAAAAATGTACTTAAGGGAAAACAGGTTTAGTTCACATATCAGGAAACATTCTTTTCATGAGAAAGAGAGACAAATAGAGAAAGAGAGAGAGCGAAGTCAATGATGTGTTCTGGATTTACGCAGTGCAAATTGTATTCGAACAGTCTGTCTTTAAAAGTCTCATGTACTTATCATTATGGGGCTTATAAAAGGCGTGATAAACATATTAAAATTTTTGAAATATGTATTTGAATCATTCAATTAAATCATTTTAATCGAAATTGAATGTACACACGGCTATACATCGAGCTTTACATCACCAGTATAAACTGAACGTTAAATGTGCGGAAAAATGATCCGACGCGACACCAGGATAAACTGGTTTTGTATAGATTGATTTGTGGCCGTGTGTACTACTTACGAAATAAAATGTTCGAAGGTGCTCGACTAGTTTCAAGCCATGAACGTGGCTCATAACTACGAGCAGACTCACGGCTACCGAAGTCGCTCAGTAAATATGTATGTGTTTAGATAATATATATATTCTAACGCTTGTTACTATCAGTTGTCTATTTATAAAAGCCTTCTATATCAAAGCTAGGTAATATCTATATTATTTAGTGGATAAGTTGGTATATTATATTAAATTTTTATATTAAAAATGCGCTTATATTTATTTCATATATTATCTTGTATATTCAAGACTAAAATCGAATCTCATTAAGCATTTTCTCCAAATACATATTATCTTTGTTAAACTAACCAAAGGATGTTTTATACTACATTTGAAATGTAGACTATTTGTTTAGTAATAAAGTCCATAAACTGGATTCTCCGGTGTTTATCGATATTCAATTGTTGATGATACTCTTTTTAATTGAAAGTATATTTTATGTATTTTAAATATGAAGTGGTTGTACAGCAAATATTAAGCAATTCGGCAGGAAAACTAACCTAAAATGATAATTAGTTCTCGAGAGACGATTAATTATCTGCTTTGGAAGTAGTATTTGTGTGAGTAGTCACTTGTTAAAATAATGAAACTGCCTACTATTACACGAAACTCAAAATACAATTGTTGAAAAGTGGGCGTTACGTTGCATAAGTTCAGCCTACCTCTTTGTGGATTATAAGGCGTGACGTCACGATGTTGAAATAGGTGCCACCGTTCATTGACTCTCTAGATGGTGCTAATCTAGCAAGAGATCAGTTTGTCAAATCACTGTAGCTGTCAAACATTTAACGTCCTATCACGTAACACTAGCTAATATTCTATTGGACGAAAAGACGACAGGCGCACACTAGCGCCATCTATTGATCAAAACAACGGTAGCCTCCATTGCTGATATTTGCGAGTCGTTGTTTCAACTGACCGTAGTCAGTATTTTATAAATGGCTATATTGTTTTGTCCTGTATCAAGAGGGCCATTGTAGGCTTCCGATTCCACATTAGCCAAATAGACAATATTATGTAGCTTCGTTTTCATTGTATACATTTTTATATAATCATATTATATTAGATATTTATATAAATATGTCGGTGTGTCGTCTTAAGCTGTAAGTGTTACAAACTCGCCTGATTAACGTGTTCAGTAGGGAAACGTAGAAAATTCTAGAATCTGTAAAGCGTATAGTTGGCAAGAAATGCGTAGAAAAAAAATGGCGGAAGTTTTTGAAGCGTTTTAATAAGATAAAGTTAAAATGTTATTACATTTATTTGCTTGATATTACAATAATACATTTTCGTCCTATATAATCCTATATCAGAATTTTATATTTGTTCTTATATAATAAAACATATTTTCTGAAGCTGTTATACTCAAATACTATTAATAATTTACCATAATAATAACATCCTCTATAATATAAGCATTGTCTATAATGTTATTTCTTTCCTTAAATGTTAATATTTATTTAGTAATGTTTTTGAGTAACTGTTTTACCACAATCTAGGATAATTTAATTCTGCCGTTAATAACACATTATTTTAATAATACCAAGTTATTTCCATTACCATTTATTACTTCTGAACGCCAGAGCGAAAACACATGAACCTGCCCTCAACGCCAAGCTACAAATTCCGCGCAAACTACGAAAAAAATACAGATTAAAATGAATGATATGTCGGTGGCGTCCAGAGACAGTTTTCGCTTGTCACGTATATGACATTGGCGCTCAAAAGGTTAATGGAACTTATATATCTATATGTAAAAGTTTTAAAAGTGAGTTGGTGAGGGAATTTTATAGCAACAGAACATTATGTTTGCAATTTTTAATATTATACAAATATCAATATATGATATAATTTATAATAAAGATCACTTCACGTCAACAGACTTTTTGTGGAAATATCAAAGGCCACTTCTCACACGGAGAAGGTTTGAGCATTAATCACCACGCTTGCTCAAGGTGGATTGGCAATTCCAAACTTGTAATAAAAATTATGAGTCCAGGCTTCCGCACGATTCTTCCTTCTCTGCGTGTTAGTGGTGTCTAAATAATCTTAGAAAAATATAATAAAGTTACTGTCATATAATATACATATATTTTGTATAAAATTCCCTCGCCATAAAATCTTGTGATTATATTTACGTAATTTTGTCCACGGTGCTTCTGAATCCTAATTTTACTATAAACGTTTATATTGCTAAGGAGGAAGTCCTGGTTTTGGCTGTTTTAATACCTAGTCGCATAAGTGATTATAATGTTAGTCTTTTAATTAAACAGTGGAAATAAGATCGAAATGAATAACATTCATGAATTATTGTTTTTTACATAGTTTATGTTGAATTTGTGTACCTACACTTGAAGCTTTAACTTGCCCAGGCGCAATGAGCACTACTGTTTTTTTCTCGTTAACTGTAGATGGCGTCAATGTAGCAAGGCCTGTTTGTCAAATTAAATGTCTAAAGGTTTGACAGTAATAATGTTTCTATTGTATAAACAGATCAAACGCTACATGTCTAGTGGCGAGTAAAAAGACTGTAGCATTCATTGATTGTTGAGAGAATGCGCACAATATGTTAGCTAAGTGTAGTTCGCGTAGTCAAGCAATTAGTGCAATTTCCAAACTTGTTTCAATGTTCGTAAGGTTCAATGTTAATTGTTCTTCCTCATATTTAAAGTCTATTAAAAATACAGAAGAAATATTTTGGTAAAACCTAATGTTTTTGAAATAAAGGTGGTGTTTTAGGAATTAAACTGGAAAGTCTTTGTATAGAGGTTTGTGAAGTTTGTGGTTAGTTCGTATAGTAGGGATGTTTGGCTCATCATCGAATAATAAACTAAATTGCAGTAAATATTTGTTTTAGTAGCAACATTTTATTTTTGGAAAAATAAATAGTATATTATAATTAAAGTTAAACTGCAATTTGCAAGTTTTTTTAATATCATGAAATGGACTACAATAACACGACTACAAATTACTAGTTAGATTCATTTCTGTCACACATTTCTAAAAGCATCCCTATTATAATACATTTAGAACTCAAATCGGCAATGTACTTTCATCATTTTTGTTCGATTACATTTGTCTTTTTAAGGTCTAGTTTCATTGTCTATGTCACAAGTAGTTACCGTAGTGTTAGTGTGAACAGATTATACTAAACGATTTCTTGACTTCCTGGACACCTGCACATCAATCTACCCAAAAAATCTATAATACATTTTGAACTTTATAAGTAATGTAAGTTGTAAGGTTTAAAGTATAGTGTTAATGTAACATTCAGTGTACTTGTAATGAAGTTAATTAATCGTTTACTAAATAATCTGTGGTCGGTCATCGTGTGCAAGTTGTTAAGCTGAATATGAGACGCTTTTATTTATAATGTTTATATCGATTATATATGGAAAGTTTATTCGTTTGTTTTATTTTAAAATATATGTACCTCTATTGTCTCCCCCGAACTTAGGTTCGAAATCGAATTCGAATCTTAGATTCGGCTAGTGTGCATAATTACTAAGTCTAAAAGGATACATTATAAAAAAAAAACTTAATCTAACATTCAAATTGGATACAGTGTGTTAAATTTTTTGCAATCGTTATGAAAGTGAATACTTATTTCTAATTATTTAAAATTCACCCTGTAGGGCTTATGGCACAATATCAGTGAATTACTGGATTAAATAAACTTAGACCTATCCTAACAATTCACTATTTTGTGGTAGGTACGGAAAGAAAGCAGTGCAAATAACTGCGAGGTTATTTGAACCTAAGTAATTTCATAAACCGGGAAAGTAGAGAGGGTTGTGGTTCAGTGGTTTTGTTGTTGGGCTGAACGGGTGAAAGTATTGGAATGGTGTCCAGCGACCCTAAAGACATATTATTTCTGGAACAGCCAGGCATAGGTGGAGGTATTGGAGGACTAGTTTGTCCAGCCCTGGTTGCACTGGGCGACGGTGGCGCCGTCTGTGCGCCTCGGTTTGCATTCATTATAGTTCCTAGTTGGATCTGCAACAGTCAAATGTATTGTTTTTAATATCTTAAGTTTCTCTTTATGGTTCGCTTCCTCATGTCCTTTGTCTGCTTAACTAGCATAACTGCTTCTCAGTAGGATGAGACTGCTTTCTAGGTTATGGTAACCGTGTCGAGAAAGCACCCGTGTTAGGTAGGATGTGAGGACGCCGTGGCGTCTCTCTAGCCACAAAGATTGCTTACAAGTTAAAAATCAAAAGGAACTTGCCTCATTTGCATCCGACTGTCCTGAAGGCGTTCGTGCAGATGTAGGCTCTACGTCTGTATCGTTCATTGCGCCTTCCAACCTGTAAATAATAGTAGCCTGAATGTGATTCTTCCATATGAGCCGTATGAGTATAATATTCCACATATCTAGTCGTATATTATAAGTAAAGGGAAAGCGACCATCAATATTAGCCGGAGTAAGTGCGTCTTTTGATAATCAAAGGCTTCTTTCTTTACAGAAGGTTAGAAAGGGAATAACAGGTCGCTGAAATTGTAGATGATGCTGTCCTTGATCGGTCACTATTTTAGGACATTTAAGGGTCCAGTGACCTGTGAATGCTATATTTATGGACAGTGTGCGTATGTATTGGTATTTAACTTACGTATAAATCGGGTGTTGATTGATCTGCATTCTAGTTTGTTGCAAGGAGAACAAGAGCTCGGCAAATGGATGTAGCGAGGGTGCAGGTTCCTCTTCTGCTTGGAGGATCGAGTACTGTCGAACATTTTCTTTGGGGTTACGTCTAGGGCGTCTAGGTAACCTTTTCACAATTATATTGTCTCTCGGACGTCTTTCAAAGTTCTGGAAATAGTAATATATATTTACACTAGCGGACCCGACAGACGTTGTCCTGCATATAACACAATAATAATGTAATAATAGGTACAGATAAATAAATAACCTAGAAACCGACTGCAGCGCCATCTGCCGGGCTGATTTGTGAATCTAAACCATCCAGAGCGCGTGTGCGTCAAATCTTATCTTCAAATGACCATTTTCGACAACATCTGGCCTGGGTAAAGCACACTTTATTAACCGACTACAAAAAAGGGAGTTTCTCAATATGACCTATATATTTGTATGTATGTATGAATGTATGAATATATGAATGTATGAATGTATGTTTGTCCGTGATTATCTCGCGATTAGCTGAACCGATGTTGGTGCGGTTTTCAAAAAAGTATTTTAGTATATTAACTGTCTTCCAAAAGAGAGGGTTCAATTCGGTTTTGTTAAACATAGTTTATAAAGGAAAGCAATTATTTTTGAATTAAAAATATGCGTTTCGTATAAATCTAAACTATTTACCGGTTTAGGTAATCTCCATCCTATTTCTCTTGGACTATAGTTGATAAGGCCGCTCATGGGCACATAGTCGTAATGTGTCGGATCAGAGGTTCTCTCCGACATATTATGATATATTTCTTCATGTTCGTAATCAATATTCTCCGTAACCCACCAGGTTTCCATCATTCCCTTTCCCTTAACTTCTATGTCGCCGCGACATTTTAGAACATAATCAGTTCTCAGGAGCTGCGGATATTCAATCTTTATTTACAATTTGACAGACTGCAGCAGGTTGATGAGCTGGTTTCTGTATATGTGGTCATGCATGGGCTACCTTCGAAAAAATTATATAGTACCTACTGCACTCACAGTTAATCATGTCAATACACTCACCCCCTATTACATGGGACTCATAACATAAATAGTGAAAAGTGGGTGTTACATTGTACAGTGGCATTAGGTGCCGTAATGTGCTACTCTGGCTACCCCTTCTGGGATAAAAGGCGTGATGTTATGCATTCGCTGTAAGTGCTATTTGCTAATTTAATTCCAATTGTTGTATTTTTGGGAATGAAATTTTGTCTTACAGTAAGTTTTTACGTCAAGAAGGTACCTAGAGGTATATTAAACTGTCAAACACCAAGCGGTCACCGGTGACCGCAACCTATTGTTCTATAATTGTGTCTATATTGACGGTACTCGACGAGTTAATAATGTTAGTTGTTTTTCGTATCGACACTTCACGCAGCAGGCGGTATTTCAAAGTACCACGCAGTCAAAATATACAGTACTCACTCATTTATGTAACACATGTCTTTTAAGGGACAAGCCCGCCACGACCTCCCAAAACCGCTGCAACTCCTGTAAGCCAGGATCTACAGTAGATACAACCATTGAAACATCGGAACACTGAAGTCCGGCGCGTCCCAGAGACATGAATAACTGTCTTGGTTCCCGCAACGAAGTGAATCAGATGATATTATAAAAGGAGAAGAAAAAATACGATAGTATATAATAAATATGTCTGTTTACCTCACGAGTGTGGGCGGTGACTTGTATCTTCCCAGCTCCCCCGGTACTCTCCATCCTGGAAGCTTCATTGACGGTGTTGCCCCAGATGTCATACACCGGCTTCCGAGCGCCTATCACTCCGCCCACCAGGGGACCACAACTTATACCTAATGCATAAATTGTGATGTTATTATATCCCTAATAAGTAGGTAACTTAGGAGCCAAACGTCGGAAGCGCTCCACGAATTTCCACCGACTGTCGAGGACGAGTCCCAGGTACTTTATCGTCATCTCGACGCCGATGGTAACCTTGGCCATGAAAACACATAGCCTCAGACTTGTGGAGCGCCACCTCGAGTCCCACGAGCATTGGGCATATAGTTTCATTTTAGAACTAGGAAGTATTTCGTTTCTTTAAACAAATTTAAAAAGCGGTCAAGTACCTAAATGAAAGCCGCTAGCTTTGATGCGACCTATACGGTATACCAATCCCAGCCCGGATCACCTAATGGTGATCCGTCTGATCGTTTACCGGCTTATACCATAAAAAAAATTAGGTAGGTTTCTCTCACCTGCTCTCAGTTGAAATCTGTTAACCGTAATACCATCCAAAGCACCTTTTAGCGCGAAAGCATAATTAACTAGCGCGTGTAGATGTTTGTGGTCGCGTTTCCCTGACTGTAAGAATAAAAAAATAATTATGCAGTTAAATAAATAAGTATTTTGAACGTGTACGAAAATAAGTTTGACAATAATACCAATTGAAAAATTCCCGTCTTAGGCACAAGAAGGTACAGTTCACTGTTGAGTATTTATATCTATCAGAGTTTGACTATACGGTTGGTACGGTGGCTGGGCAACCGGTTGCCGTGCAACGTGTCGCGGGTTCGGTTCCCGCAAGGAACAACACTTTGTGCGATCCACAAATTGTTGTTGCGGGTCTGGGTGTCATTGTGTATGTGAACTTGAATGTTTGTAAACGTACCCACAACATAGGAGAAAATCCTAAAGCTGGGCAACGTTTATTAAAGAAAAAAAAGGGTCGGAGGGTCCTTGATTTTCTGATCACAGGGTCACGCATTTGTTCTTGGTTCCTAAAAATTGATTCTGTTACTTTGTTCCTTTTCTTTCCTTCCTTAGAGGATCGTCAAGCACAAAGTCTTAGTTTGAATTTTCCTAATTAGTGTTACAATTAGGTTTTTTTCTTTTTTTTTTAAACTTTGCCCCACACTAGGATTGCCTCCTGTGTTGTGGGTGCGTTTACAAATATCCAATACTACATACAAGACATCCAGACTTAAAAAAACAATTTATGGATCACACAAACAGTGGATCAATGCGAAAATCGAACCCGTTACTCGTTGCGCGGCAGCCGGTTCCCCAGCCACCGCGCCAACTGTTCAGTCATATTTTATTCATCAGTAATACCAGGGATCTTTATCTAATTATTTCAAATGTTTGGATATATGAACAATTAACGGTCGTAGGACATTTAAATAAAATCGCAAATAAAAGTTTTAGGTACTATTGTAAAATGTTTCGATGTTACCACCTCTGTACTGTCTGTACCTGTCCCTTACAGGGTTAATAGACGTGAAGTTATTATATAGGCAGGTTTAGTTTAATGTAAATACTTACATTACGTTTAGCATCTAGGCCCGAGGCTGCCATGTATGTAGCGCTGATAGTTTTTATCTTCTCGACGCCGCTAAATCTTGGATTTGTCAGTAATTGGTCAAATGACACTGCAAATATAAAATGAGAAGTCAATACTTAAATTAGAGCTTAAATTAAGTATTTATATTATACTAGCGACCCGCCCCGGCTTCGCACGGGTGCAATATGCATGATATAAACCTTCCTTAAGAATCACTCTATCTATTAAAAAAAACCGCATCAAAATCCGTTGCGTAGTTTTAAAGATCTAAGCATACATACGGACATACAGCGAAAGCGACTTTGTTTTATACTATGTATTGATATTATCATCTAATACCAAGTTAACTTTAGGCACGACCTCCATTGAGTATTAGAACCTATCTTCTCACTAGCGCCAATTACTAGGTACTTATATGACACTACGGTCTAGAAAAGTTATAAATTTATGAATAGTCGTGGTGGCCTGGAGGCGTAAGACGCGCGCTTCTCATGCATGAGGGCTCGAAACCTACCAACGGCATGTACCAATGTGACTTTTTCCGTGTTATATGTACTTTCTAAGATCTATATAGACAGCACTGACAAACGGTGAAGGAAACATCGTGAGGAAACCTGACCTTATAATTTCTAATTATAAGTTTGTAATCGCCAACCCGCATTGAGCAAGCGTGGTGATTAATGCTCAAATTTTCTCCGTATGAGAAGAGGCTTCGCTCAGCAGTGGGCATTTATAGGCTGTTGATGATGAGTGAAATTGAACATGAAGTATTACGAACGTATAATACTGTTGAGTGTACGCAGACAGTCCAGAGCCTTCCTGTCTCTACAGAACGTGTCGAAGTTGACGACACTCGCAAACAACACGCCCACCTCCTCGTGGTATTGGGCGTACAGATTCTGAAAGAAACAATAATTCTAATATAATTATTTATTAATACATTGTAAAATATTAGTTCAATAAGAATAAGATAAGAATACACTGCTTGCTCACATAATGGTCAAAAGTGCTCAACTCAATTTGAGGGTCACGATTAAGGACCCCTTTCGTGGTTTGAAACTAGTCGAGCACATGCCTGAGTTAGCCGCGTATTCTATCTTATAAAATTCAAAAGTGTTGAATGTTGCCTAGAATTATGAAACTGGTAGAAAAAAGATTTTCCATTATTATTTTGTTCATTTTTTTTTGTTAAAATACTCATAAAACGTACATCAGGTCGCCAGTCCTTACTGAGGAAGTGATCAACCACATGATCGGGCAGTATGTGCGCTAGTAGCTGTTTGTTCATGCGTTGAACTGACTCCATGCGGTTCAGGTCGATTTTCACTTGGCGCTTCCAAAGAAAGTCGAGCCGTGCTATTATTTCCACCAGTCGTGCGTGGGTTATTACCATCACTAAGAAACCGCTCATTAGAACCAACATCTGGGCAGGTAACAATAACCTGAAATTCAAAAGATTAATGCTACATTCATTTTAGGAACTGGACCAGGTTTTGGGCGTACTTAGTTCGTAATTGGGCATTTTGGATGGTTTTGAATGACAGGGAGATAAAATTATTAATGAAATATACTACTGGTATCTACATAAAGTCCCTTTAGCTCTCTTATAAATAAAAATAGATAAGTAAATAATTATAAATAGTCAAAGAACTATAAGACTCAATGTTAGCGTTATGTACTTAACTGCCGTTTTAATGAGACAATTGATTTGAGAATGTGTCACTATTTTTATTAAAACTTACATTCCTTTGCTCTGATCATACATGTAGTATCGAATAAGGAGGGCGCAGTAAATGACGACAGCGATGCTGGCCAGTAGTGTCTTGATGAGGAAGTACAGCTTGAGCACTGAGGTGAGCGCCACCAGACACAGCACCCACGTGAACACCACGTACTCCTGGTTGTAACATTGACCTGGAGACGATCCTAAAGAATAGGGTCGAAGAATAGATGCCTAATTTTTATTTTAATGTCCGACTGGTAGATTATTTTAAATCATTAGACACGTATTTTTACTTTCTTACAGAAACGAATACTTTCGATGATATATTGATTTGAAATGTCGCGTGACGTCACTTCTATGTACATTTTATACGTAGAAATGACGTTTTAGCCCGCACACCTAAATTTTGATTCGTGTTATCTAAGTAATGTTTTATTATACGACAAAATAAAAAAATACGTGTCTAATATTTTTTCATTACCTAACTTCCGGATTAATTACATTTTTAATTTTCATACCCTGTCATCATCCCAATTATAAACGCGTAGACTGCATGGAATACCGATAAGATTTGCCTGTTACTAGTCGATAAACTGCAATTTTATTCTAGTTCGTATTTGCGTGATCATCAAATTGTTGTTTTGCATGTGGAGTAGGTCTGGGTGTAACGTGAATGTATGAGTTTTCAATCCCATACAAAGAACAAAAACTTCGTGGTAAGCTCTTTAAAAAAGGTAGTGTTACCTGTATCAATGCCATCAGTAGTCGTAGTATTTGTAATATTCGACATCAGAACACTTGAAATGTTTGCAGAGATATTGTGTGGAGCTGGTGGACAGATGTATAGTTTAACCGTACTGCAAAGAAATTTAGATACACAATAGTCTTAGTAGGATTATGATGGACAAACAAAGTTGCCCGCGAAGTATCACGAATGGGCCGGCTCGACCGGAGTGATACCACGGCCTCACAGAAAACCGACGTGAAGCAACGCTAGCGTTGTATTTTGTTGTGTGCGTGAGGTTACTGGAGGCCCAATTACCCTCTCCTTCCCCAATATCCTCAATTCCTGAATCCCCAACGATCCTCAAAAGGCCGGTAACGCACTTGTAACGCCTCTGGTGTTTCAAGCGTACATGGGCGACGCCGATTGCTTACCATCAGGTGATCCGTCCGCTCGTTTACCGGCTTATGCCATAAAAAAAAATCTTATTTCATAGTCCACTTCACTTACCTCGACAATGTCATGACGAAGATAATGAAGCAGATGTGCATGACTCTCAGTATACGAGTCTCGTTAATTTTATCAGAGAACTTATAGAGCTGGCGATTGAATTGCGGGAACTCTTGAATCATCACCAGGATAAAGCAGAGTGCTAGAGGTACCGTCATCACTGCCAAAACTATCACCAGGTTTCTACAGCTGTGAAAATGTTATGGTACCTTATAAAGTCAGAAGAGTTGGTCGGGAAGTAAAGAGCTTTGGAATTTTTAGTAGAAGCAAAGAGTTCAGAACTATGCACAATGGCAATGAGTAGGTGTACTCAACGTAGTAAATCCAACATACATACATACATACATAACTTCACGCCTGTCTTCCATGGGTGTAGGCAGAGGCTATGGAACGCCGATTACTACGATTCCTACATACCTCTTTCGCTTCATCAATAGTCATCAATCTTTTCATGCATGCTCGTCGGTTAAGGGTACGTTTAATTTGGTCCTTCTTTAACATATTGCCAATCTGGTCAGTATATGTCCGTCTAGGGCGCCCTCTACCGACGGCCCCATTCATATCCGCTCTGTATACTTCTTTCGTTACTCTACTTTCATCTATCCTTTCTACATGTCCAAACCAGCCTAACATTCCCTTTTCAATCCTTGTCACTACATCATCTTTCAATCCACACTTTTCTCTAATAACACTATTTTTCACTTGATCATTCAATTTTAGTCCACACATGCTTCTCAGTAAATTAAATCAATTAACTCGGTACTTACTTATAGTGTGCAAGAGTTTGTACTGCTACCACAAACAGCCATTGGATCATGCAGCTCATGACGTTGGACTTGAAAGTCTCGCCGTCCAGGTTTCTGAACCTGGATTCCATGGCATTTTCCTTGAACCGTAATGACCAGGCGTGCATATACTTCGCACAAGCGTCAATTAAGCGACGGATCATATCTTCATCCTGAAAATATTTATAAATTCTAGTTCAATTTTCAGCAACGTTTTGGCACGAATGGTTCAGCTCTACCGGAGTGATACCACCATGATACACGTGATGTCTTTACAAAAAATCGGCGTGAAAAAATGCTTGGGTTGTGTTATGTCGCGTGAGTGAGGCTACCAGAGGTCCGATATTCCGAGGATCCATGTCTGGTGTTCATCGTCAGCCCCGATTGTTTACCATCGGGTGATCAATATGCTCGTTTGCCGCCGTATCCCATAAAAATATATTTGGTGGAGCATGCTTCATCAAACTAGTCAACTCATACACGACATGTGGCACCTATGTAGGTATATTTTATACATTACAATGACGTAGTTAGATTCCGTTGGTAAACGTTTCTTTATTTTACTTAAAGATGTAATTATTTTTTCTTATTTTGATGGAACAAGGAATGTGTGTCTAGTATTTTTCCGTTATCTAAGTGGTACCTATTTTTGATACGTTTGTCATCATCCTTATTTGTGTGAACACCTGTTCAAAGATTAAAAGGTTTAATGTTAAAAATGTTGAAAGTAGCCACTAAGTGGACAGTTTGGTTCACCTGCATTTCGAGTTTTTGCGGTCCGTCGTGAACGTCCTCACTGTCACCATGATAGTACTGTAACAAATACGTAAACTAGTTTATTATTGAGATTTCCTGATTAGCATAAAATGTGCAATTTGATTTTAGGAAATATAGAAATTATATCTATATCTATAAGAGATCTTTAAAGTAACTTACGTTTTCAAATGGCATTTCTGGCTTCCATTCCTTTTCCGTACTTTCAGCTGAGCGGTGCCCGCGTCGTATTTTACGTCTGCGGCCAACATTTGGTGGTATGGGTACAGCAGACAACTGTTTGTGATCTACTTTGACACATTCTTCGGATCCATTTAAATCTCTAAAATAATAAATTATTACTGCAACGTCATTTGTACGTAACACGAAAAGTATGCACTAGCCGAGGGACGTCAATAATTTCTTATTTTAAGAATCTATACAAATACATAATAAAATCGTAGAAAAGTCAAAACTGTACATCGAATATTTTTTATAAAGAATACCTTAGGCGTCAACAATCGATACCGAAGCTAAAAATATGGTTTTTAGAATTTTTGTCTGTTTGTCTGTATGTATGTCCGGGATGATCACCAAAAGTACTACATGGATTTACTTCAAATTTTGCATGAATATTACTAACAGGTCGGGTCAACATAAAGGCTACACATTATCACGCTATCACCCACGGGGAGGAGCTGTGAATAACAATTCCACGCGAACGACGTCGCGGGCAACAGCTAGTGCAATAATATTAATTCGTTTAATTTGCATTAATAGTGTTTACCTGGCGGCAGGTCTTTTTACGTAAGGTCGTGGTATTTCCAAGCTGTCAATGAAGTAAGTAATGGGCTGGAACTCCTGGAGGTAGGCGTCCCTCGTTCCTCCTTCTCCAGGCTCCACAACAAAAGCCCCATTAAGGCATTTGTGTGTAAAAGAAGAAATGTGTATACGACTGTAAATTAAACGAAATATTTCTTAAATGCTTGACGACTAGACTAGATGGATTTCAAGTGTGAGAGAGCCAAGCTGCGGCACGAATGGGCCGGCTTGACCGGACTGATACCACGGCCGAGCAGAAAACCGACGTGAAGTAACGCTTGCGTTGTGTTTCGTCGTGTGAGTGAGGTTACGGGAAGTCCAACAATTCCCAAAAGGCCGGTAACGCACTTGTAACGCCCTTGGATGTTCCAGGTGTCCATGGGCGACGCCGATTGCTTACCATCAGGTCATCCGCCTGCTCGTTTACCGGCTTATGCCGTAAAAAAAATGGCGCTAGTGGTGATTTTTGCATCTAGCTGCAGTTTATCAATTTTCCTGAATGTTTTATTAATTACAACATTTAATTTAATGAGTACAGTGTAAATAAGAGGCTTGATCTTGACATTATAGCCAAAACGAATCACAAAAATAAATGGCCCTGTGTTATTCTCAACTGTTGAACCCGTTGGCGTCATGTTGGTTATCTCGTTGATTGTGAGTGTATTTACACTAGGACCGTAATAGTTACCCGGGCAATCCGCTGCTCTCAATGCGGTTAGCGATGGTGACGTCACGCGACCACAAGTCAAGCTGCCATTTCAACTGGCCCAGCACTCCGCACAGTACTGTACCGCTGTGGATCCCGATGCGCATGTTTAGGTCCACCTGCAAATATAAAAAGATTTTTTTACAACCAGAATTTTTCCAGGCCTATAACGTGGTTATTTTGAAGTTATAAATTAGTGTTTAAGATTTACCTACATATAAATGATGACGTCTCATAGTGCAATCTTTCGGAACCCTCTATTATTTTAAAGACGGGGAACTAAATAGAAAAGAGTGGTTATTGGTTTATGCTAATATGATCGTTTAATAGAAGAAGAGAAATAATATTTTTTTTATGGGACAAGCCAGCCACAAAACCGCTGCAACTTTTATAAGATAGGATCTTCAGTAGATACAACCATGAAAACACTGAAGTCCGGCGCGTCCCAGAGACATGAATAACTGTCTTGGTTCCCGCAACGAAGTGAATCAGAAGATATTATAAAAGGAGAAGTAAAAAAACCATAGTTTCCACTTCCCTCGGTGAATTACTGCAGGAGACAGAATGAATTAAGCTTAAAGGCACAAAGAAGAGACTGTACAACTGGGTGAAGCCCAGTCGCCAAGCACCACGGACATTTGACTTAAAACTAAGTGGGTCCTATGTGTGAGCTGTTATACTTGCTTCCAATAATAGGTCTAGCAGAAGAGAAATAACATTATTAAAGCAAGACAAAATGTGTAAAAGGACAATATTCACCGCCAAGTGTTTGTTCTCCCTTCGCACTTGGCGGATGACCCTGACCATGTGCAGGCCCATGTTGACGCAGCAGTGTGCGTGGTCCTCGCGCGGCTGCAGGAGGCCACTCACACAGAAGTAGCAGTCGCCCAGTAGCTTTATACGGAGGCAGTGGTTCTCCTGTCAACGTAACGTACAAATGAACAAAGGAGAAGAAGAAATAGAAGTTTATTTGTTTTTTTATTAGCTTCGTGTCATATTTGTGAAAATATTTAAGTATCTTGCCTACTGTTGTAGATAACAATTTTCTTATTTTTAGTAGGATTTTGATTATTGTTATTTCTTTCTGTTTGGTCAACTACCTACATATTTATCAAATTAGGGTCACTTTACACTAGTGCAGAGTCGAAGCGCCTCGAAGCGGCTTTCCGAAATTGAGCAATACAAATTCAAATTTTTATAATAACTATCGTGAGACATACTAAATTAACTAAAATTCGCGGGTTACTCACATGAATCTACAGAGAAAAGCTCTACTAGTTTCGTACCACAGAGGGCGTTCTTCCTCATGAGCAGCGTGCGCGGTCGCGGCGATGTCGCGCAGCCTTCTCAACAAACTACTACTAATACAAATTCAACCTTAACTCCACAGCGTAAGCATCTGCGCTAGTATATAATTGACCCCAGTGTATCTATTGACGACGCTGTTTATTGTTGCAAGGTTTATTAAACTGTCAAACACCAAGCGGTCACCGATGACCGCAACCTATTGTTCTATAATTGTGTCTACAAAACCGGTACTCGACGAGTTAATTCTATAGTAAGATAGAATGGTCAAAATATGATCTCACTGAAGCCAGTTTGTCGAAGCGGGCGAATAAGTTGTTCAGTAATTCCACCAACTCTTGCGCACTGCACTTGCTCGAAAGTTCTGTAAATATAAAGCACGTACATTAGGTAATGAAGATAGGTTTCCAAACAGAACTTATGTTTGACTGATTCAGTAGTTATTGGGTAAAGTGAAGCCTTCGATCAGCAGTGGAAGTGTTGTGGCTGATACGCCGTTTATCCCCGAAGGGGTAGGCGAAGGTGCACATTACGGCACTTTATGCCACTGTACAATGTACCTAACACCCACTTTTCACTATTTATGTTATGAGTTCCATGTAATAGAGGGTGAGCCCATTGCTATATACCGGGCATAATTCTAGACTCCGTGCTACTACTGAGATTTTTTTTAAAAACCCAGTGGTGATTTGCCCGACCCGGGAATCGAAACCAAGATCCCTTGCCCGGCAGTCTTACAATTGGGATCACTCGGCCAACTAGGCAGTCATTCGTATTGAATTTTCATGTTCATTCGTATTGCTATTTTTTTTATGGGATAAGCCGCTGACCGCGCCGACGGATCATCTGATGGTAAGCAATCGGGGTCGCCCATAGACTACCGCACCACCAGATTCGTCATCGTCCTTTTGAGAATTAGGAATTTGAGGATTGTTGGGATTCAGGGATTGGGGAGATTGAGGAGGGACGGGGAATTAGCCCTCCTGTAATCTCACTCACACGACGAAACACAACGCAAGCGTTGTTTCACGTCGGTTTTCAGTGAGGCCGTGGTAGGTATCACTCCGGTCGAGCCGGTCCATTCATGCCGGCTCTTCTACACTTAAATAGTGTTTTTTTAGTATCTACACACATTTTTGACTCTCAGGTTCTAAACTTCTCTCACATTACGCTTACCTGTGAATCCCTTGATGTCTGCGAACATAAGAGACACTTCAAGACTGTTGTACGTCACAATGTCCAGTATGTCCTGGATGTCTCCAGCCTTCTTGCATAAATGTGTGCTGATTTTTTGCGCCACAAGCCCTGGTATTACTGCAATAAAGTTATAACATTTAATTTTTGACGACTAAGATCATGCGCTATCGTTGAGCTAGAGGGTTTCGAGTTAAAATTTTATTAAACATAGAAAAAAAAATATTTATAATCAGTCAATATTCATTATTTGATGATATGCAGTTTATACTTTTATAGATAATTTAAAGGTCAGTCTTTTGGGCACCCTACCTCACGGTAGCGATAAGGAAAAGTTTTAGATTATTTACATTTTAATTTGTATATATTTATTTCATTAAAATATAATTTGAGATTCTATTTAAAGGCTAATTAAACTAAGCGAAATTTTGCGATATTGAGTTAGAGGTATTTAAATACATATTCAGAATCAGCTAATTTTCCTCTCAACAAACACAATTAATTGAATATCGCAAAAAGAAAATGTTGGTTACAAATTAACCTTCCAACCGTCGACTTGATCTTATTGTGTCCACCTACTGAAAAGTCAAATTGTGGTTGGGTTAAGCGTCAATTTTGTACTAAAATCTCACCGCTTTGTATGAGACTCCATTGTCTGTCGCTCTCTTTTCTGGTTTTCTCGTACGCTTTCTTTGACTTGCATGTTTCTAAGAATATCTTCCTCTGTTCCCAGTCCACGAAAGACTTGGTATACAATCCTGCGAAGTTTACTGCAGCGTGGAGTAGCGCATTGCCTGCTAGCAGACGAATGGCGCAGGCGTATCTATGCTGTGAGTAAAAACTATCTCTTGAATCGAATCAGGTCCTCTGGGACGAACTATCACAATTGTGTTACACAATTATTAAGTATAAGTAATAAAACAAACAAAACTATTAATTAACCGGGTTATAAAATGAGGAAAATATAAAAAAAAAAACTTTATTCACAAACGCCTCAGAGTGTTCGTTACGGAATTATTTTTAAATCTTCCTTATTTGTTATGCAACAAAAAACCCAATATTATGTTATTTTAACTCGAATTCCGGTAGTTAAATAAAAGGAAAATAATCACGATATACTTATTCACAAATCCTTTTATTTTGTGGTTATAATTATTACTTGGGCTTACTCTCCAAGCTTCGTCATTTGACGAATGCATGCGTTCGTCAAAATCGATAGGCGGATGCAACGTTACCTCTTCGTGGACAGTTTTCATTAGTTCTAAGATGTAAGCTATTGTTTGTGCATTCCGCTAATGAGGCAACGTGGATAATAAGGTGGATGCCTCATTTTTATTTTAATGTCCGTCCTGTAGATTATTTTAAATAATTACCAATTTTTTATTTTCTTACAGAAACGAATACTTTCGACGATATATTGATTTGAAATGTTGTGTGATGTCATTTCTATGTACCTACGTCGAAATGACGTTTTAGCCCTCACTCCTAAACTTTGATTCGTTTTATCTAAGTATTGTTTTATTATACGACAAAATAAAAAAATACTTGCCTAATATTTTTTCATTACTTAACTTACGGAGTAATTAGATTTTTAATTTTCATACCCTGTCATCATTCCAATTACTGTCGAATGTGACTTACCTATTCAGAAAATATTAAATTTACTTACATGTGTATTTAAAGTAATTCCAAGCGGGTCATTGTCCTCATGTATGTACACAATGGTAGCCATTAAGTGGGCCAGGAAGGTAAGGGCTCCGAGGGTGATACACCACCTTAGTGACAGTGGAAATATGGCGTATGGTACGAACCCAATCAACAGCATGTACCATACTTGGTTTTGTGTCTGGTGGAAGCCAATACTTTGCTGGCTTAGACCTGTAAAATACATCGAGGACTAAAGTAGGAATGTTAGTTGGAAGCTATCAATGAAGAGTAAAAATCATCGTTGACTATTTGGTTTGAGTGGTCCGTTCTCAGATTTCTCAATTTTCAATTTTAGTTTTTTTATATGGCATAAGCCGGTAATCGAACAGACGGATCACCTGATGGTAAGCAATCGGCGTCGCCCATGGACACGTGGAACACCAGAGGCGTTATTAGTGCGTTACCGGCTTTTTGGGGATTAGGAGTTTGAGGATCGTTGGGGATTCAGGGATTGGGGAGATTGGGGAAGGGGAGGGTAATTGGGCCTCCGGTAACCTCACACACACGACGAAGCACAACGCAAGCGTTGCTTCACGTCGGTTTTCTATGAGGCCGTGGTATCACTCCAGTCGAGCCGGCCCATTCGTGCCGAAGCATGGTTCTCCCACACTTTTTTCAACTATTGAAAGTTGCTTCGTCGAGGTCAGCTTACGATAGTGTTGGACCAAGTCAAGATATATAGTTAACGTCTTTTAATTGGCTTTAACACAAGGAAATAGCTTGATTCCCAACTGAAGAACTCCATAAGGCATAGGATATATCAATAATTTACGTGACATACCTTGAACGATGAGAAGCATCCAAGTAGCAGCTGCAGCCCAGTGCAAGTGGTTCTGAGCTAAAGTTCGCCACAAGCACATCAAACAGACACACGCGTTTAAAAATGTGAAAGTAACCGTCCATACTATTTGTTGGAGACTCGGGGGCCATCCTGTCGAAATACACTTTTTTGAAATTTACTCCATATTTATAAAAAACAATGTTCTAACATCGTAACGTTGTCGCGGTCGTCGTGTGCAAAGGAACTAAATTCAGATAACTTATAGTAGGTAGACATTTTACAACATAATAGCAATCTGTAGCTTCAGCCTGGGAGATGTAGAAAAAATAATAAAAACGTCGTCAGAACAGTAAAAAGAAGGTAAAATATAAGTACATTTAACTTGTCGTTTATATGAGACATTTTTTATTATGTCTTACTTATGTTGGCTAGGCCCTGATAATAAGTTGTAATATGAATCTGATTTTTAACGAGATTTTTTAATTAATAGTTAGTTATTGAATTCTTACCATCGTCGTCTGTTGCGGCATAAATGATCACCAGTACAATCTGTAATTCAATTTAAAATCCCTCTATTAGCTTAATTCAAAAAGTTGTTAAGATTAATTTGTTATATAATTCTTTTATACACTACGTTTAAAAAACCGACTTCACCCCCTCTGTGTTTGAAGTCGTGGGCCTTCAGTAACCTCACTCACAGGACGAAATACAGTCTCGTCGGTTTTCTGTGAGGCCGTGGTATAACTCCGCTTGAGCCGGCCCTTTCGTGCCGAAGCATGGCTCTTCCACACTTAAAAGTATCTTTTGTAGAAGGAGAAAATAGTATCGATAACGTATTAGGCATAAGAACTTCGGCATAACATAAAATGTTTACTTTACTAGGTATATTGCCACATCTTATCTTATACTATTATATAAAGCGGAAGAGTTTGTTTTTTTGTTAGTTTGTTTGAACGCGCTAATCTCCGTAACTACAAGTCTGATTTGAATAATTCTTTTTGTGTTGGATAGCGCATTTATTGAGGATGGCTATAGGCTATAAAACATCACGCTACGACCAATAGGAGTTGAGCAGAGCGTGTGAAATCGCGCGGAAGTAGCTATAAATGAAGTCATTCAGTGAGATTTTTACTTACTTTTAGTGCTAAGTCAACGAGGTTGACCACGATAAGGGGTTTTTTCCTTTGTCTGCGAGAATATCTCTGGTATGACAGTTCCACTGCTTCATTCTAAGTAAAAATTAAGATTTAATTTTAGAATGTTACTTATTTAGGTAAATTAAAAAAGTCTCCCCATTAGGCGCTTATGGAACTTGAATATTACTCACATGAAGATTTAATAAAAACATGTTAAAATAAAACTTTGTAATTATATGTGGCCAATTCACCTTGTGCAAGTATGGTGATTGCTGCTCGTTCTTTGGTCATATGAGTGGTTTAGGGCACTTTTATGCTGTTGATAATGACTTACCACAATGCAGCTTACCAAGCACATACATTTCTGCACTACCCAAAGGATGACCGGCAGAGAATGCTGTTAGCATTAAGTCCTCCTTATGCAATTGTATTGTATAAAACTTAAATAAATAAATAAAAATAATGATGGTAAAAAACGGTACTTACCTCGAATTTGCTCGAGATTGCTGGACAATATAAACCTCTATAGTACCGTGGTTCAGGCATGTCCTATGACGAATGTTCCTCTAACGCACTACTAAAAAATATTGTAATATTAAATGTTGGACGTGGGTCCATTATATTATGTCGAAAAAAATGCAAGAAAGAAGCAGTCTTAATGCCTATAGAAACACGTATTTTTAAAAGTTAATAATTATGATTTAGAGAGAACCTTGAATTAAAAACAAAACGTCAAAAACTATAAAAGGAAAAAATTATAAAGGTGAAAAAAAAAAACAGCGATATCCTTGCTATAATCCTTGTTGGCTAAAATTGAACTGTACCCTATGTCTGCTTAAAAAGCAACTATTAAGGTTCAAGAAATAATAATTAGGTTATTATAATTATGAGACCACAACATTTTATCTCAATAGTGTACTATTAATAGTGTACAGAAATATAGTTGAATTACAACTAACAATATAACAAATTATAAGTACCTATAAGAATAAGGATAAAGCTTAATTAATGGAACGTCGCAGAATTTATAAATCAGTAATTAAAAAAGATCCTTATTATGTTGAATTTAAGATTCATTTAAGCAGGGTTTAATTACTGATCTTTATCCGAAATCGCTGGATCGATCCAAGTTTTTGGCAGAAAGTAAACAAGTAATGTCAAAAATCAATCTTAATTCACAGATATTAGATTGAAATTGGCTTATTAACTTTCAGTTTTCGTGATAAAAATTGCCATTTCCATAAATCAGTAATGGAAAAAGATCTTTATGGTGAAGAATTTAAGATTCATTTTTAGCAGGGGTAAATCATTGATCTTAATCCGAAATCGCATGATCGATCCAAGTTTTTGGCAGAAAGTTAACAAGTAATGTCAAAAATCAATCTTAATTCATAGATATTAGATTGAAATTGGCTTATTAATTCAGTTTTCGTGATAAAAGTACCTACTACTAGAAGAGTTATTGTATATTTTTAAAATAAATAAAAAATGTACCTTGTTGTCGTATGCAGCCGTGGTGTACTGGCCGTTAAGAATTAGAATTAAAACTTCTTTGGCGAAATGGCGGGAAACGAAAACATTGGTTTACAAATTGTTGTTAGGATTTATAAAATAGGACGTAGTTTGTTATGACTGAACTGAAAATTGGCCTTATTTATGATAATTTCACAACATTTTTAATTGGTATTTAACACAAAACAACTATAAGAGCTAAATAAAACTACGTTTTTAAATAAAATGCAAGAATTTCTGTCAGTTCGACGAAAAAAAAATGTTAATTATATTTTTATCACTGGCAACTCTCAGCAAGGTTAGTGCTGTACTAAGTGGTGTTGTGAGCTTATTTGCAACGGATATTAATTAACAATACACAAAATATTATTATTACACGATAACATGTACGATGATGTACTCTATTATAGTTCTATTTAGGTTAAATATTAAAAAACATGATCGTTTTAAGTTTTTTATTTAAACTTTGCTTATAAATATAGTACATATTTAAAAAAAAAATATAACTTATACTAAAATAGATTACTATTTTAGTATAAGTTATATTTTTTTTTCATTATTATAGACAGAACATTCATTAGAATAGACAGTTTTATTTGACTAAAATAAAACTATTAAAATATTTATAAAACACTTTACATATAATGAACTTATTATTTACTTATGAAATATAAGTATTTTAAAGTATAAAAATAGTGCGAGATCAAATTATAATGTAAGTGATTCTATGACTGATATAAAAAGGTAAATATATATAAAGGTACTTATATCGTCAGTGGAAAGGAAAAAACGCTAAAGCGCCACTTGGGCCAAAATGAGTTTTATACATTGCTGAATAGGTATTTTTTTTCTGCGCTAATCTGTGTAGGTCTCATGTCAATCCGTCTATTTTTTTTGGCACTTTAGTAATTAGAATTTTTTCTGTTTTTGTTTCTGTGCACAAAATAGGAACACGATGACCTTTTAAAAGGACAGTTTAACATTAATACCTACTTAAAAAGATATGAATTCCTTTCGCTAAATTTTAACTTTAATCCTCTTTTGCCACAAGTAGCGTTTTGGCGTTTTAGTCTTTTTTCCTTTCCACTGACGATATGAGTTTATTTTGGTAGGTACATAATATTTACATATTGATATTTTTATACAGCCTTTATTTTACATTTGTATAGATGTCCTAGTCACCACTGTCTTCGATACATAATTTAACTTTGTCTCTCTTTATATTTTTCACTCGATTCTTGAAGAGAAAAGCGTTCGTGATGGAACGCATACGCGCTGATCCGATTGACCCATCGAAGCTAGATTGGGTTAAGAAACTTCGACGAGGTGCTTCTGTGAAAAGAGATAGAAGTACATCAACATCTTCAGTGTGGGAGAGCCATGCTTCGGCACGAATGGGCCTCACAGAAAACCGACGTGAAGCAACGCTTGCGTTGTGTTTCGTCGTGTGAGTGAGGTTATTGGAGGCCCAATTACCCTACCCTTCCCCAATCTCCCCAATCACTGAATCCCCAACGATCCTCAAACTCCTAATCCCCAAAAGGCCGGTAACGCACTTGTAACGCCTCTAGTGTTCTGGGTGTCCATGGGCGACGGTGATTGCTAACCATCAGGTGATCCGTCTGCTCGTTTACCGGCTTATGCCAAAAAAATATATATATTATAGCGAAAATTACACTGTGCCTACTTAAGTTACAGTCACCACTATAGGTAGGTATGTCTAACGTGACTGGGCCCCAGCAGAGGTCCTATGGCCAGTGTATAAATATGTATCTGTAGACTGCCTCGTTGGTCGAGTGGTTGCAAGTGCGACTTCCAGGAAAGGAGTCTCGGGTTCGATTCCAAGGTCGGGCAAAGTACTACTTTACTTTGTATTTTGCATTTTTGAATTATGAATAAATTTTATTTATTTATTTATTTATTTACTAGGGATTTCCAAAAAATCTCAGTAGTAGCACGGAGTTTGGAATTGTACATGGCAATATATGGCAATAAGCTCACCCCTTAATAAATGTGACTCATAACATAAATAGTGAAAAGTGGGTGTTACATTGTACAGTGGCATTAAATGCCGTATTGTGCACCTCTGCCTACCTCTTCGGGGGTATTATGTACGTATCTGTTGTAATTTTCTTAACAAAAATACACAAGAAAAAGCGATAACCTTCTCGACCGACTCATATATTAGAGAGTCTTTTTCTGAGAAGGCAGGAGTGTTAGACTCTTATTGACTAAAAGAGCCAAGCCGCGGTATAATACGTTAAGTCGTTTATAGCTTCGATCTAGGGAGAATGAGCTTTAATAGCACTATATCAAAGTTGGAAATTGTGAGGTTAGATTGAACATAGGATATGTCCGTTTTTAAGAAAAGATGCAAAAGCATGTTATTCATTCGGATGGTACCTTCAACGGGAGTCTTACTCGTAGACTGTCTATCTCCATCTGGTGAATTGGTCGAACTGCTGGATGAAGTTATAGGATTGATCGATATTCGAGGGTTCACACGCCGCTGTCTCCGTACACATGTTTCACCATCTAGTTCTAGTTCATTGCTGAACCTGAAACAGTTTATGATAAACTGATAAATAACACAAAGTGTTGTTCCGGGTCTGGGTGTCATGTGTATGTGAACTTGTATGTTTGTAAACGCACCCACGACACAGGACAAAATCCAAGTGTGGGGCAACGTTTAAAAAAAAAATATGTTTCTATAAATCGAAAAGAACTTTTTCGTTACATTTTCCTAATTGTTTATATACGATTTTTGTTTAGATACCAATCCAACTTAGAATAGAGAGTGCGCACACAAAATATTACCTAAAATAATGTATGATTGGACTGCCTAGTTGGCCGAGTGGTCGCAAGTGCGACTGCCGGGCAACGGGTCTCGGGTTAGATTTCCGGGTCGGGCAAAGTATAACAGGGTTTTAAAAAAATCTCAGTAGTAGCACGGAGTCAGGAAATGTGCCCGGTATATGGCAATAGGCTCACCCTCTATTACATGGGACTCATAACATAAATAGTGAAAAGTGGGTCTTACTTCTGTGTGCACCTCTGCTTACCCCTTCGGGGATAAAAGGCGTAATGTTATGTTATGTTATAATGTATGATTTTTGCAAAAATTACTGAAACTTACGTTTTTGCAGTCCGTGGTCTCGGCCGCCATAAATTACCGATATTGTTTGAGCTACATGGCGCGGTCACTGCGCGGTTTTTCCGAACACCTTCGCTTTTTTTAGCTGTAAACGCAATACGTCATATAAATGTAGATTCTATTTCTTTTTAAAGGACGAAAGTCATCGGATGAATTCTCCCGCCTGGGTGAGGCGGGAGGGAGGGTCAGACTCTTACTGACTAAAAACCACCCCGTTCCTACTCCTGCGCTTCGAGCCGGAGCCCCGGCAACCCGTTAGGCTTTCCGCGACAAATATAGATTCTTTAGGATGATAATATTAAATTTTATTAAACCTAGTATAAATGTCTATAAAAATTTGGCAAATATTTATAAAAAATTGCATATCATGTTAATAAGGGCAAAGAAAGAGAATAACGTATCTGAATTCACATATGGGGCTTATTTTATAGTAGCATATTGGATCATAATAATTATTATAATACGCAATGTACTGTAAACTATTCATTGTTACAATTAAGGATTAGGCAAACAGGACCTTGTGATTTGCGAGCATAAATCGCTGACAGCATCAGATACAGAAAAATATTTCAAGGCGAAAGCAAAAAACGAAAACATGTTATAAAGAAAATTGGAACGTATAAGAAACTTGGTAGGTACTCACGCAAAGAAGATGCGTCAAGTGGATGAGTATTGATGCGTCTTCGTGACTGCAATATGGAGTAAACGAGTGCGGCGAGGGATCGAGGTGGTGCGGTCGGCTTCTGATCCAAATTCAATGCATTCATCTCGTCTTCATACTTCTCCCTCGTCTTCTTCACCACGTACCATGTCTCCATCATCCCTTTGCCCTTTACAGATTTCATGCCGCAACTCTCAAGAACGTAGTATCCGCTTAATATCTATGGGATCAAAATTAGTTGTGTATTTGTAAATGTGAAACAACACCGGCCGGTTCGACCGGAGTGATACCACGGCCTCACAGAAAACCGACGTGAAGTAACGCTTGCGTTGTGTTTCGTCGTGTGAGTGAGGTTATCGGAGGCCCAGCTCCCTCCCCCCTTCCCTAATCTCCCCAATCCGCGAATCCCCAACAATCCTCAAACTCCTAATCCCCAAAAAGCCGATAACGCACTTGTAACGCTTCTGGTGTTCAAGGTGACCATGGGCGACGCCAATTGCTTAACATCAGGTTATCCGTCTGCTCGTTTCCCGCGGCATATGCCATAAAAAAACATCGTTGTTAACATTTTTACGAAAGTAATCATCAACAATAGTATGAAATGACAAATTATGGCTGGCAGCTCTAACCTAGATACTATTTTCTAAACCCTGAATTGATTTTTAAGAATTTATAGATGTCAAAAGCAAGGCATTAGTATTCATCATCATTATATCAGCCAAACATGTGGTGGCCTTAGGGCCGGGTTTAAGACGCCCGCTTCTCATGCATGCGGGTGCGGGTTCGAGTTATATGTACTTTCTAGAGATTATTTAGACACCACTGACAAAGGGTGAAGGAAAAATAACGTAAGGAAACCTGAGCTTATAATTTCTATTTATAAGTATGAAATCGCCAACCCGCATTGAGCAAGCGGGGTGATTATGCTTAAATCATCTCAATGTGAGAAGTGGCTTTGCGCAGCAATGGGCAAGTATGGCTCATTCTGTTCAGGATGATGATGATATCAGCCACAAGACGTTCACTGCTGAACATAGGACTGTCCCAACAACTTCAAGAACGGTTGTTGGGAAGCGACCTGCATGCAGCGTCTTAGTTTATTCGGCGACCTTTGTCAGGTTGTCATTGCACCACTCAAATGGACAATTGGACATCCTATTTTACTCTGCGCTTGTCGGTACGTGGCCTCCACACCAGAACCTTTTTGCTCCAAACACACATGTGGTTTCTTGGGTTTCTACTTCAAGACCCAACTCACCTCCTTGGTGTCCTTCGTAACCTGTATCTTATCTATTTCCCCGGTACTCTCCATCCTGGAAGCCTCGTTGACGGTGTTACCCCAGATGTCATACACCGGCTTGGTTGCACCAATCACAGCGCCCACAAGGGGACCGCAGCTTATTCCTGCAACACAAAACGGGGTTGAAACCCAATTCGATTTATTTAAAGCACTTGTGAAAGCACAATATACTGCCTCGTTGGCCGAGTGGTCGTAAGTGCGACTACCGGGCAAGGGGACTCGGGTTCGATTCCCGGGTCGGGTAAAGTATTACTGGGTTTTTAAATATTCTCAGTAGTAGCACGGAGTCCTGAATTGTGCCCGGTATATGGCAATAGGCTCACCCCCTATTACATGGGACTCATAATATAAATAGTAAATAGTGGGTGTTACATTGTACAGTGGTATAATGTGCACCTCTGCCTACTCCTTCGGGGATAAAAGGCGTGATGTTATTTATGTATTTGCATTAAGCATAACATAACATAACATAACATAACATAACATAACATCACGTTATGTTATGTTATGTTTTTTAAGACGCAAAAGCTATGTTTGTATAGTGTAATTTTTAACACTTGAGGTAACGTTCTTTCTTAATATAATGAACTTACCAATTCGTAGTCGGAATTCGTAATAGCTGATACTTTTGACAGTCTCCCTGAGCGCGAGAGCAAAGTCCACAAGTGTGTACAAGTGTTCATGCCCTTGTTTCTCTCCTTTCTAGCAAACGAAATAAATATTATGAACGACACCCTTATAACTAATTAATCAACGTAGTTAATATAATGCAAGATAAGAAGGTTTAGCGCATTTTTTCATAATCGTTAAAAATATAGGTACTTTACCTTTGGATCAGTTTGTAGCCCCGATGCAGCCATATAAATTGCGCCCACAGTCTTGATTTTTTCTACGCACTTGTATCGATTTTGTAGTTTTAACTTGTCGAAAACAACTGCAAACATAAATCAAGAGTCATTGTAAATTTTATAGAAGAATTATTTTTTTAATTATGCAAGAGAATTCCCCTAAATAGAATCATTAAACTAAACTTAATAAAAGTAAGATATTATACAGTATACATACATATAATTTCGTTAAGTATACGAAGGCATTTGAGGGCATTTTTGTCCGAATAAAATTCGTCGAAGTTCGCAATGCTCGCGAACATAACACCCACTTCAGGGTGAACATGAGAGTAAAGTTTCTGGAAATCATAGAAGACGATACATACATTTATTAGAATATAGAAAAGAAAAATATTACTATTGATGACGAAATGGTCCTAAATGCGTCATCCAAGAAGAGGCATCTGGATGGATTCTAGACTCTGGCTACTGTTCGATTTTTCGATTTCAAAAGCTGGCAAGCTATAAAGCGATAAAGAACCTAGAATTGCTTTAAATATATCACTACCAGTATAAAACAAAGTCGCTATCCGCCGTCTGTCTGTCCCTATGTATGCTTAGATCTTTAAAACTACGCAACGGATTTTGATGCGGTTTTCTTTGATAGATAGAGTGATTCTTAAGAAAGGTTTATATGTATGTATCATACATGCATATTGCACCCGGGCGAAGCTGGGGCGGGTCGCTAGTTGTTCATTATAGCATCATAATCGAATGATTGGCAAAAAATGGTCCCTCTATTCATTTTAATACGTTTTTTATTGCGTACTTTCTGTTTCAAAATATATTAAATTTATACTTACATCTGGATTCTGTTGCCAATCTTTACTAAGGAAATGCTTCACTGCATGATCAGGTAGGATATACTTTAGCAAATTCTTGTTAGACCGTTGTGTGTACTTCATCTCATCGAGATCAGTCTTCGCTTGCAGTTTCCAGAGGAAGTCCAGCCGTGAGATCACTTCCAGAAGCCTTGCGTGTATCACCACTACTATTAGAAACCCTATCATCAGGACCAGCATCTGTGCGGGGAGTAACCTGGAAGATATGAAGGAGTACATAGAAATTATAAATGAGATTAACTTTTATATTTGCATCGGGTCGGGCAAAGTATTACTGGGTTTAAAAAAAAATCTCAGTGGTAGCACGGAGTCTGGAATTGTGCCAGGTATATGTCAATAGGCTCACCCCCTATTACATGGGACTCAAAACATAAATAGTGAAATTGGGTGTTACATTGTACAGTGGCATAATGTACACCTCTGCCTACCCCTTTGGGAATAAAAAGACGTGATGTTATGTATGTATGTATGTATTTGCATTAAGACTATGGTCTCTGGGTCAAGGGCTTTGGGCCCTTTTTTGAATAGGTGAAGGACAAGGGACTGTCAAAAGCATGCGTTCCAGAAACACCAAGATTATATACAGACATAAAATACATTTTATTTTTCTTCCTCTCTATTAATATCATCTGCTTTATTTTGCTGCGGGAACCAAGACATATTCATGTCCCTGCGACGCGCCGCACTTTAGTGTTCTGGTGTTTTCATGGTTGTATCTACTGTAGATCCTGGCTAACAGGAGTTGCAGCGGTTCTGGGAAGTTGGGGCGGGCTTGTCCCAATAAGAAAGGACACAGAATACAACAAAAAATAATAAATTGAACATTGATACTCACGCATTCCTAGTCTGATAATATTTGTAGTAGCGGACCAGTATGATGCAGTACATGACTACGTTGACGATGGCTAGAATTGTCTTTATAATGAAGTACAGCTTCAGCACCGAGGTTAGCGCCACCAGGCACAGCACCCACGTGAACACCACGTACTCCGGCCGGTAGCACTCGACTAGTAAAAAGGTAACAGTTAACGAAATATTTTACATAAGTATTTTTAATAGTAATAGTTTTGTAACATATTTTGTTTTTGGCTGCCTCGTTAGCCAAGTGGTCGCAAGTGCGACTGCCGAGCAATGGGTCTCGGATCGATTCCCGGGTCGGACAAAGTATTACTGGGTTTTTATAAATTCTCAGTAGTAGCACGGAGTCTGAAATTGTGCCCGGTATATGGCAATAGGCTCACCCCCTATTACATGGGACTCATAACATAAATAGTGAAAAGTGGGTGTTACATTGTACAGTGGCATAATGTACACCTCTGCCTACCCCTTCGGGGATAAAAGGTTTGATAAAAGGTTTAGGTTGATGTTTTGTTAGGTTTGTTTTTTGATCGATTTATTTGTAGATAATTATCCGAAAATTTCTAAAAACAATAAAGAGCAAGCAAAATATTTTTTGAGACGAGAACTGAATAACTAATAACTAGCACACTAGGATTTTCTCCTGTCTCGTGATTGGATAAAAATATATTACGACATATGCATGCGCATCACACCCAGATCAGGGACAATAAGGTGTGGATCACACAGATACTTATTGTGTGCGGGGATTGAAACCGTATCACGTTGTGCGTACGTACGTACGTAGCAGCCAGTTGCCAAGCCATTGTACCAACCGTTTCGTCTTTTGTCTTACATAGCACTTTGAATGTTTTTTAATAATTGAAATTTGAAAACAAGTATGAGAGCTTCGGCACGAATGGGCCGGCTCGACCGGAGTGATACCACGACCTCACAGAAAACCGACGTGAAGCAACGCTAGCGTTGTGTTTCGTCGTGTGAGTGAGGTTACCGGAGGCCCAATTACCCTCCCCTTCTCCAATCTCCCAATCCCTGAATCCCCAACTATTAGCTGGTAAGGCACTTGAATGTAACGCCTCTGGTGTTCCAGGTGTCCAATGGCGACGTCGATTGCTTACCATCAGGTGATCCGTCAGCTCGTTTACCGGCTAAGGTCATAGAAAAAATACAAAAAAGTAAAGTTTTAGTACAAACCTGGATCTTTAACTGTAGTTATATTGTCTGGCGCACAGATTATATTGATTGCAGTGTTGGTGTTCGGACGCTCGGGGAGGTACAACAACGGACACGAGTAAAGCTTTACCGTACTGAAAGAAAAACAAAACAACGTCTTAGTGGTAGCGGTGAATGATGGAGCAGCGCTGATATATATCGAAAATTCAAAAACATTCCAAAATAAACCGAATACCCTTTTAATATTACCCTCCCTTTCCCCAATCTCCCCAATTCCTGAATCCCCAACGATCCTCAAACTCCTAATCTCCAAAAGGCCGGTAACGCACTTGTAACGCCTCTGGTGTTCCATGTGGCCATGGGCGACGCCGATTGCTTACCATCAGGTGACCCGTCTGCTCGTTTACTGGCTTATGCCATAAAAAACCTAATGCACCTAAGGATATACTGTCATCGAAATATTGTCATAATATGTTATTAATATCTATTCCCTATCTAATTGATAAATTTTAAGTAAGTTTCCACTTGCGTGATAGGTAAAAAAAATAAAATGTAAGAATTTTCTAAAGACAATTTCCGAATGAAAGACTGGGTGAATGGTAAACCCGCAAATATGTACGTGCCTACCTTTTCGGGAATTATAAGACATTCTGACGTATTAGATTTCAAATACCTGGTTACAGCCATAACAGTGATGAAACAGCAGATGTGAACAATCTTGAACGTGCGCATCTTGTTGAAATGCACAGAGATCCTGTACAACACCATGGGGACACAGGTGAACTCTTCCAGCATCACCAGAGCGAACGAGAGCGTTAGAGGAACCGTCATTACTGCCAGCACCACAATGAGAGTCGGACAGCTGTGAAAATCAAGTTACTATTATTTACTTGTAACACTAAATATCGTGGTGGTCCAAAGTCAAAGTCAAAGTCAAAATCATTTATTTCAATTAGGCCAGAATGGCACTTTTGAAAGTCAACAAAAAAAAAAATTAGAAGTGAAGCTATTTGCTCATTCCAAGGAAGAATGATGGTCCTATGGAGAATGATGGTCCATAGGTTTAAGTATTGTAAGTTTGAAATCGTCAACTCGCATTGAGCAAGGGTGAAGATTAATGCTCAAACCAGGGTTAAGCACCCTTTTGACACCAATATCAATGTCAATGCAATTTCAATCCAATAAAATCTCAATAATGATTCAATGTCAAAACTGTACAACCCCTTTCGTAGCTGTTGAAATAGCATTCAAAGTACGGAATATAAAACCAAACTCAATACAATTTAGTTCATTCAATATCCACACAATATAGAGGTAGAGGTAGATGCAATGGGCGCTAGTGTTGCAACTAGAGTGTACGAAATTTCACAATACCAATGTCGATCAATCAACCTTGTCTTTGCAAAAACAGCCATTTAGAGGCTGCTAAAGAGCGTTGGATGTGTGTGTGTGTGTATGACATAAAACCCAGTTACTAACAGTCATCCAATAGAAAATAAGTGAGCAGTTGAAAGGGAAAGATGCAAATGATTCCTATTTAGAATTAATTAGATTTGATTAATTAGATCCGCGATGATCACTGGCTCTCTAATCTGCATTTAATTTTTTACTTGTATCTCTTTTCTTGTCTCTTTTTAGTCTCTTTATTATAAAACAATGCCCCACACTAGGATTTTCTTCTGTATCGTGGGTGTGTTTACAAACATACAAGTTCACATACACATCACACCCAGACCCGGAACACTAATATGTGGATCACACAAACAGTTGTTCCGTGCGGGAATCGAACCCGCGACACGTTGCCTGGTAGCTAGCCCATCCACCGTGCCTACCGTGCAGTCTCATATGAGTACAACTCACTCATACACACTTACTTGTACTCTTACTTAAATTATCTTATACTTTCAAAAATTCAAAATTCTTTATTATCTTAAAAATTACAATATCAGTCTAACATTGAGGCAGTCCCAGTAAGTTATTATACAATACTTGTGTTGGGACTGACTCGATCCTTTCTTTATTTATTTAACACTCTTAAGAATAATAGCTTCCAGATCTGTAAATGTCCCAATTAAAGGAAATACTTACTTATAGTAAACAAGGATTTGTACAGCTACAACGAAGAGCCAGAGAACGAAACAGCACATGATGTTGGACTTGAAGGTCTCCTCGTCCAGTCTTCCGAACTGAGCCTCGATGGTGGGCCGGTTGAAACGCAGCGACCAACCGTACATAAATTGCAAGCGCATTCGTTGCATGGGATTCGTTTCAAGCAAGTGATTTATTATGTCACTTTCCTGTAGAATTTAAGTGGTTGAAAAATTATTGAAGTCATTGATGATGACTTTCTTATGAAGGGGCACATAGTCTAGCAGTGAATTATTATCGGGCTGATGATACTATTGTTCATTACGGTCTTGGTTGGATGTATTAATTTTACCCTAGATCTAACAATCTATAAACCTCGACAGGAGGTTTACCACGGCCTCACAGAAAACTGACCTGAAACAACCCCTTTCCCAGTCTCCCCAATCCCCGATTCCTCGACAACCCTCGAATTCCCAATTCCCAAAAGGCCTACAACAACAACGCTTTGGTGTTCCAGGTGTCCATCGCCGATTGGTTACCATCAGGTGATCTGTCTGCTCGTTTACTGGCTTATGCCATAAAAAAAGTTTCATAAAATCAATACTTCTTACCTCAACTTCTGATATAGGTGGTACGTCTTGGGCGAGATCTTCATAGCTTGGATTAACATCATATAACTGTAAAAAAGGAAACACTGTAAAAGGAACATACGAGGGAAATATCTCAATCCTTGATTATTAAAGCGTTATCGAACTTCAGATACGACGGATGGAGATTGATACTATTATTTTTCAGGCTACAGACTGATAGGGGTTTGATACTAATGTATTGAAGTATTTATAAGAATAATTATATTAATTAAAATAATAATAGTACATCTGCGAAAGGAAACTTCGGAGTCCATTCCTCAGCGAGGCTGCTTGGTCGACGGCCAGGAGGAAGGTCCCAGGTTAACTGTGAGGTTGACGGCAGACTGGGGAAAAACACAACATATTGAATTAGTTGGTTGTCTCAATGGGTAAGGTATAGTGCTACAAGCTTCAGTAAAAATTCAGTATAATACACACACGCACACACACACGTCTTAAAGTCAAAGTCAAAGTCAAAATCATTTATTGCAATTAGACCAGAAAGGCACCTTTAACGTCAACAAAAAAAATTAAAAGTGAAGCTATGCTCATTCCAAGGTGTAGATTTCTATGGAGAAGAACGAGCAAGAAACTCCATAGGTCACTCTTTTTCAATCAGGTTCACAATACAAATCAGCAGTTACATAGTTTTGCTGTTTGGATTGTGCGAGAACAATGTAACACCAAAATCCAGTCAAAGTAATCGAAAAAGAAAATAACCTTAAGGACAATAATATAGTCTGGAGCTGACCAGTCCCAGTTGACGGCGCCCGTTCACGAACTTAATTACATGTAATTGAAGGTTGTGTTGTGAGTCCCGGGTAAAAAATGGAACCTAACTCTGCGCTATTATCCAATAGAGAAGAGTTAATGACCCGATAATACTTCTGTGAACCCAGTGACCGAATTTGAGATCCTGTTTTTCGACATTCGCGCTTGCAGACACTCTTAACGAGTCAGTTAAATAAATAGGGCTGTTTCCTAAATTTTATTTTAATTTTTCTTTTCTCACAAAATTAAATACTTTCGACGATATATTAATTTGAAATATTGTGTGACGTCACAGCGTGTCACATATTGTAGCACGTTATGACGTAACGACCTCCCACTCCTAAACTTAGCGCCATTTTATCTAAGTATTGCAACTTAATACGAAAAAATTAAAATAGTACGTGTCTAATATTTTTTCATTATCTAACTGACGGACTAATTAGATTTTTAATTTTGATACTCTAGAAACTGCCCAATTGTAAAAATGAGTTAGTCCATCTTATTCTATTATTACTATTAACACGCTAAACATCACGGGGGTTACCGGTCACTGACTTTACCGGAGGAATTGCCTTAACAGTTTTCTATTGGCAGTCAAAGATTTAATAATACTAATGCGAAAGTATGTAAAAATGGGTGATAGATTATAAGATATGGGCTACTTTTATCCCAAATGTGTCGTGTTGGCCCGGAGGTTTAAGAGGCCCGCTTCTCATGCATGAGGGTGCGGGTTCGAAACCTATCAACGGCAAGTACCATTGTGACTTTTTCCGAGTTATATGTACTTTCTAAGATTATCTAGACAGCACTGACAAACGGTGAAGGAAACATCGTGAGGAAACCTGAGCTTATACTTTCTAATTATAAGTTTGTAATCGCCAACCCGCATTGAGCAAGCGTGGTGATTAATGCTCAAATTTTTTCCGTGTGAGAAGAGGCTTCGCTCAGCAGTGGGCATTTATAGGCTATTGATGATAATTATCCCAGTAACGGGGCCGAAGCCGCTGGTAAAAGCTAGTCCATTATAAAAAGAACTGGTTACCTGTTTCTGTGGGTAATTTTCGGGTATTGTATTGGTTCTGGATCCGGGAATTTGATGAAGTAGGTATCTGGATGGTGTTCCTTGAGGTATGGATCTCGCGTTCCACCATACCCTGGTTCCACCTCAAAGGCTCCGTTTAAGCATTCAAGAGTAGCAGCCGAAATGTGCACGCGTCTGGAACATTTACATTGAACTTGAGATGAGTGATTTTAGTATTATAAGGTCAAAGGTTAAAAATAGAATCGTTTGATAGCCAGTCTACGTATTAGTGAAGTTGATGCTTGTCCTACTGTGGGTCATGTAAATTTGTACGAACAACAAACTCTCATGGTTGATCAGATAAAATATACGTAATCAAAGTTGTTTTCGTCACAGGTTAAAATATTGATTGTGGACATTTGTAGAAAGATCTTGGGTTAATCATAAAATACACAATTTGAGGAAGATTTACGTTCATCTTCGTAAGTGACAATATATTAGTTGCAAAATCTCTGGATGCTGGACGGTGATAGTAAAATGTTTACCCAGGCAATCCTCCACTCTCCATGTGTTGTGCAAGGGTGACATCACGTGACCACAGGTCGAATTGCCACTTCAGAAGACCCAGCACTCCGCACAGCACTTTACCACTGTGAATTCCAATGCGCATGTCCAGTTCCTAGTAGCGAGAAAAACAACAGGCATTTATTGAGTTCATTTTGTAATTTAAGTGTGGGAGAGCCATGCTTCGGCACAAATGGTCCGGCTCGACCGGAGTGATACCACGGCCTCACAGAAAACAGACGTGAAGCAATGCTTGCGTTGTGTTTCGTCGTGTGAGTGAGGTTACCGGAGGCTCATAACCCCCTTCCCCAGTCTCCCCAATCCCCGAATCCCCAACAATCCTCAAATTCCTAATTCCCAAAAGGCCGGTAACGTACTTGTAACGCCTATGGTTTTTCGCGTGTCCATGGGCGACGCTGATTGCTTACCATCAGGCGATCCGTCTGCCTGTTTACCGGCTTATCCCATTAAAAAAAATGTAATTGATTTAGTATGCGAGTGATGTTGCGGGAAGACCTAACCCCGTCCCCCTAAAATACCGGCAACGCACTTGAAACTCCATTGCGGGTGTCCATGGCCGTCGCTTACCATCAGGTATATCAGCTTAATGCAGGCTTCATATCTACTCCCACATCATTGTGTTTGGCTTCTTTAGAATGCGTATAATTAAATATGTTGTCTTTCTTTTTATATAATTATGTGTCTTAATGATGGTAAAAAACTCACTCCTTCCATTGTGTCCTTCATAGTTTCTCGTACTTCTCGGATGGCGCGTATCATGCTAAGTCCCATGTTGACGCAGCACTGGGCGTGGTCCTCTCGCCGCTCCGGCACCCCGCTGACACAGTAGTAGCAGTCTCCTAGCAGCTTTATGCGGACGCAGTTGTTCTCCTATGACCAAAATATAATGTAGGTTTCCGATTTTCTTCACTAGATGGAGTTAGTGTAGCGCGAGCTAATAGAAATATAGAGCGCCATTATAATTAATGGATTTAAGTGTGCATAATTGCACACCTCCATATCTAAGGACACAGGATTAGATTTTAAATAAGGATCAATGTCTTACCGATGCCAACTTGTCAAAACCTGCGAACAGTGCATACAGCGTATCAACCAATTCTTCTGCGCTGCATTTACTGGATAATTCTAAAACATAGAAAAGATATTTAGATAATATTATATTTACTCTGGCTGTCTCGTTGGCCGAGTGGTCGCAAGTGCTATTGCCGGGCAAGGGGTATCGGGCTCACCCCCTATTACATGGGATTCATAACATAAATAGTGAAAAGTGGGTGGTAACAATGTAACAACATTGTACAGTGTCATAATGTGCACCTCTGCCTACCCCTTCGGGGATAAAAGGCGCCATGTTATGTTATGTTATATTTACTCTAGTTTTTACATAGACTGTGGAATTATTCATCGTTGTTGGTAAAAAGTCATCTATTACATAGTATCTGGCAAAGTGTCTATTTCTTCGGAGATGACTGATGTTATTTTGTGTTATTTCGACAAAGAGGCGGATGCAGAAGATCGGAGGGCTTGGACCTATTATCACAAATATAAAATTGAGACTTACCAGTGAAGCCTTTGATGTCAGCAAACAGTATGGACACGTCCTGGTGGATGGGTGTTACATTGACCAGCTTACTCAACTGCTCCTCATCAATTATCTCACCTTTTGCACAGATGCCTATAATCTTTTCCGCCATGAAGTCGGGTATTACTACAACAAGAAATAAATTAGTTAGGATAATAATATTGTCATATCAGACTGTGTACTGTATTTTTTTCTATTTAATAGTATGACTCAATACTTTTTAGCCCAACCCGGGTCTTCAGCGCCTGACCCTAAGGTCAGTAGTCACACTTGTGATTGAAACCGTTCGGTTTAACCTTTACTTCAAATGTCAATTGGGTATAGTCCTGGGTCAAAAATAAATTATTTAGATTTTTTCATCCAATTAAATATACAAAAATAATTACAATATAGATTTGTTTGTTTATATTCATGTATATATTGGTTATTTTTTTTTATGTAATTGTATTGTATTAGTTTGTTTTATTGTTTATTATTGTTATTTCTATTGGTTTCTTCGGTATTATTACTTTTTTTAATTGATATTTATCTTGTTTGTGTAACACACTATGTGTCTCGGTGTTGTTATATCTTTTCCTGCCACGGGCCCACAGAAAGAAATTTCAGTTGGAGTATGTGGGGCCTAAGTACTCTGTTTTTATATATGTGTTGTCCTCTGTGTTGAATGTGTGTACATAAATAAATAAATACAATTTATCCATTTATTTGATGATGTACTTAATTTTTTTTTAGAAATAAGTGTGCTATTTGACTCAAATATATGATGACGTCATAAGTTCGTTTTTGGTATAAAATTCATAGAACAATATCGTTTTTGACGTTTCGATAAAAGTATTCAATTTGATTAGTTATAAAATACCGTATTGAATACCGACCGCTTTGAAAAAGCTTGAGTTGTTTATCACTTTCTTTTTTAGTCTTCTCGTAAGCGATCATAGACTTTCGCGTCTCCAGAAAAACTTTCCTCTGCCCCCAGTCCATTAGGGACTTGGCATACAGTCCGGCAAGGTTCACAGCTACATACAGTACCAAATTGCTAGCTGTTATTCGAAGAGTGCAGTTGTAGTCCTGAAACGAAATAACCAGAAAATATTAGTCATACCTCATAGGTGTCTGGTCATATAATACATAATTATAATTAGTTGGTTTTGTGAACAGGAACGGATAGACACAAATTTTTTTTTAGGACATGAAGACTTGAATTGTGTATGGGTGTGTACTCATTTCCTATTCCAATCACCATCTTGATATAAGTTGATTGTGATTAATAGGTAGTAGTACTAATTAACTAACTTAACCAACATATTTTGTAGATAATACTATATGGTGTTTACTACTCTATGTGAACGTAGGTCCACTTGGAGAGGGTAGATGAAATAATACACTCACTGTACTGAAATAATATTCGCGTATAATATATCAATTACTATGCTTGCTGCTCACACCATAGAAAACATTTCCCCGTACCCTATATAAATCCCGGTAACGAAATCATAGCGCTATCTAAGTCGATCCCAACGCCATCTATCGAGCGCTGGGACAACTCGTGTTAATTATGCATTGTATTAATATAAAATATTGATAGCGCTATGATCCCGTTACCGCTCCGAACACTATGTATTTATGTATATAGGTTCTAATCTTAAAAATATGCTATATAAGAAAAAGAAAATTGTTCTGGCTTCTCGGTCCCTCTAGAGAGTCTTTTTTTTTTAAGGGGGGAAAATCATCGAATGACTGTTCCCGCCTGGGTGAGGCGGGAGGGAGTGTCAGACTCTTACTGGCTAAAAACCACCCCGTTCCTTCTCCTGCACGTCGAGCCGGAGCCCCGGTTACCCGTTAGGTTCTCCGCGACCTCTAGAGAGTCTAGAGTAGACCTATTGATGTCTCTCTTGAAGTTACAATTGTAGAGGTTTTACTGTTGAAAAAAAAACATTATTTTATTATGTTGTATCTGCTTAGACTTACGTTACCAAGACAATTGATAGCAGTAGTTTCAGATTGTATGCGCATTTTAATGTCCACCAGGATCTGTACGAATTGTGCTGCAATGGACAGCATTCCGATGGTGATGCACCAGCACAGGGACAGTGGGAACATGGCGTATGGTACAAAAATTATGAAGAGCATGTACCATACTTGGTTCTGAGATTCTGTGATTCCGTGGAAGCCAATGCCTTGTTTACATAAACCTGGAAATTTAAATGAATAAGTTTTTATGTTCATGTCTAGTCCCACGTCTATAGTAAGCACAAGATTGATTGATTGATTGATGTGAAGTATCGCTTGCGTCGTGTTTCGTCGTGTGAATGAGGTTAAGAATAAGAATAAGAATAAGAATTTTATTTGCTCAAACATGTGTGTGCATACAGATTAAATAATACAGCATGCAAGACCTTAGACAAAAGTGGCTCACGACATGTCTGCCATTTATCATGGTGTGCAAATATCTATTATATAATTTATTTTATGACTGTAAATTTTTTCATTTTTTTTGAAATTTACACTTATATATTAAATATCTGCAATATCATTATACATTATTAATTAATTTGTACATTTTCAATTAAAATAATATTTACAAAAAAATATTAACTTATTATTATACAAATTATTTATTTTAATTATGACTAATGACTAATGTTGCATGAATAACTCGAAACTGATTAAAATTGTGAGCGTTTTCGGAAGGGTTCTTTTTACAGCCTGTAGGTATGTTAAATTCGCTTAGCAAAGAAATAAGATATACCTTGGACTAGAAGCAGCATCCAGGTAGCGGCGGCGGCCCAGTGAAGATGTTTGTTCGCGAAGTTTGTCCATAAGCTGATGCAGCATAGAAGCAGATTGATACACATGAACGCAGCTGTCCATGTTACATGTGTTATACTCGGAATAGCATCTGGAACACACATATATTATAGTTTATGGGTACATCTATATGACTGTGTTGTTAGTATGAATGATTGTTGAGTATTGTAGCAATGGTATTTATTATTTTGATTTCTTGGTCAACCCCTAATAATATTTGATACGAAAACGTTCGTAACGCAAACATTAAGAAAAAAAAATATTATTATTACTTGTCTAAAAAGTTCTTTCTTTGCTCGATAGATGGCGTTGAAATAAACTATTGTAATTTTTAACAAAATACTGAAAACTCACCATATTTATCAGTTATCGTATAAATAACTATTAGTGCCACCTGTGGGTAGGAATTAGAAAATAATTAATTAAATAAGTCACAAATTTATTAAGATAATTAATTAAATAAAAGTACAAATTAACTTACTTTCAGCGCTAAGTCGACTAGATTGACTTGGATGACTGATTTTTGTCGCTGCTTCCGAGAGTACCTTTGATAGGAAAGCTCTATGCTAGGCGTCTGTAACATATAAAGTTAAATGTCAATTAGTTTGATTATAGGAAAATAGACTTTATTTTTATTAATAAAAAAGGGATTAAGTATGGAAGTTCTTTGACTGGTAATGATGGAGTTTCTAGCTCGCATCAACACTTTAAAATATCTTTCAAAATCTTACAATTTGACATTTTACGAAGAATAAAACAGTCCTTCGTTTAAAAAATAAATGAAAGCAAGAGTATGTTAGTTACTGCAACATTCTCTCATCACCGACAACAGATGTCGCTACTGTGATTTTTCTTAAAATAACTAATAATAGATAAATCTCACCTTAAAAGTATTTATGATTGTTGGGCAGTAAATACCTTTGTAGTAAAGTGGTTGGGGCATCTCATTCGAATGACCTGGAATGTCGATGAAACATAATGAATTATTGAATATCGATATCACAATAGCCAAAACATATGCTTGAGTGAGTCTCCCCCAGTAACTGTTTGAATTCGGTAGTTGATTCGGTTAAACACAAATTATTTTAACTTTTCCATACAATATGATGTTCAAAAATAATCAAAGTTTCATTAATTGTTTCTACAATATACTCAACTTTCGTATTTTCCTAGCTATTAAAAAAAAAAGTATTCTATTTAACGCAAAATATTATGACGTCAAGCATGTCAACATTGAAAATCGATCAATCTTGATCAAGATAATCATGAACGACGTAGCAATGCTACGGCGTAGCTCCGCTTGCTACGAAATTGGACTTAGATTATTACGCCTGTGTCCATTTTTGTTTTGAAGTATGTGTTTTGTCTTTGATACTTACTGTCATCGCCATCTAAGTCTATTATACTGTTTGTAGATAGGCTTCTAGATCGCAGGCAATGCTGGAAAATACAAAAAAATATCAACTATAAGAAGAAAGTATTTGTTTAACAATTGTTTCGTGTCATATTGCAGAATATAAAAATCACTTTATCAACTATTTAATTATGTTTTCCAAATACGTGTAAATATTTCTGTATAATTCTGAGTCATATACAAAGCTCTGTTTAAATGTGGTAAATTATTTTAGTACGTACGTATTTTTTTGTGGGAAATTAAGGTATTAATCAGAAAGGTAAAAATCAAGGTATGTTACTCATAACTACACTTATTCATAAAAATTTGCACGAAAATCCCGATTACTATTAGAGGTATAATTCCAGATCTCTCCAATCGCGAATCACTAACAATCCTCAAATTCCTAATCCCCAAAAGACAGGTAACGCACTTGCAAGTGCAACGCCTCAGGTGTTTCGAGTGTCCATGAGGGACGTCGATTGCTTACCATCAGGTGATGAGACTGCTCGTTTACCGGCTATTCCCATAAAAAATTGCCAAGGTAATTTTGGTTACTTGTTTGTGCGGGAAAATCCCGAAATTGTAAAAGTATCGGGATTTTCCCATATAGAACGGGAAAATTGCAGATGCTGGTGCATAAAGTATTTTGTTGTCATTCATATACAAAAAATATAATAAACTTCTTTATGTAGTTAGAAGTTCCATGAATAGTTGTAATTATAAATATGTCGTCCTACGATATTGATATATCATAATGATATTATTAGTTATTTCTAAATTAAACTGGTTTCGTTGCTACAGGGATAATTTTGTATAGCGATGAAAATAACGCTACTAATAACGTAATGTAGTGAATCCTATTATGGTGGTTGCAATAATAACTAAGGTACGGATTTATTTATTAGTGATTCATCGCGGTGCAAAACTGTAATAAACATTTTTTATATTTTTTAATTTTTTTAAATTATGATAAATCTTTTTTACACGCTTTTGTTAGTTTGACGATGTGTGTTTGCCTGTAATAGTCTTTCATATGTATTTTTGTAATTGTTACATACATATTTTTATCGAACTGATAGTTCTATTAAGGTTGTACACACGGCTATACATCGAGCTTTGCATAACCAGTATAAACTGAACGTTAACTGTGCGGAAAGATGATGCGACGCGACACCAGGATAAACTGGTTTTGTATAGATTGATGTGTGGCCGTGTATACCTCTACAAAAAGAACTTACATTGCCATTTGCAAGATGTATGTGTTTGTCGTCTCCTATCTCGGAAGGCGTAGTCTCCTCCATATTGTCTTCACACTGCAGCCTATAAAAGAAAAAAACAAAACAATATCAAAATGCGGACATTGCAACGTCATTCTTGTTAAATGTCATTAAACTGTTGTAACTTTCGTGTGACGTAGGTACTTATTTAATATTTTTTTTTTTCAGCCATGATCGTCCCACTGCAGGGCAAAGGCCTCCCTACCCTCCTTCCACTCCTCTCTATGTAAAGCTTTTTGCGGCCAATCCTTGTCATAGATGCCTAATTCGTCTAGGTGTAGTCGTAGGTACTAATATAATTACTATATTTTTCGGCTTACTCGATACTCTATCTAGGAAAAACTCACATTGGTACTTGTCGATGGTAGGTTTCGAATCCGCGCCCTCATACGTGAGAAGCCGGCGTCTTAACCCTCCTCCGGGCTACCACGACATTTTATTTTTAATGGTTTTATTTATTTTTATTTATCAGTATACACTCATAAAGGTGCGAGTTTAATTAACATGAACGCGATCTAATTGGTGAAAAACTTTTGGCATATACATTTAAAAAAAGAAATGTATTTATTACTAGCTGACCCGGCAAACTTCGTACCGCCTAAAAGTTTTTTCTCACCTTTTAAACCTTCCCTAGACATCCTCGAACCTATCAAGATCAAAATTAGACTAACGAACAGAAATTCATTTTTATTTATATAGATTTTACACATTTGCAGTGTACGTATACTAAATACACGGTATGTTACTGTATTCTACTCTCAACATGATTTGATGACATGTCAATACCTACATAAAATGATTCTTGAATACACCCAAGAATATCGTATCACTTCTAGTGCGTTGTAGAGGACAAATTGTGGTCAACAAGACCTAGTCGGGAAATTACCACTAGAAAGTTGGTATTAACTTGTAAACAAGTATAGTCACACATTTAGTATGTATGAGTAATTGCCATATATGTTTCGCTTAGTACTTAAAATAAACAAAACTATACTATACATAGGTCATGATTCAAAGGACGTCGAACCACAGTTATGCTAAACTAGCTTCTGCCCGCGACTTCGTACGCGCAATCCCGATATTTCCCGTTCCCGTTCTTGATTTTCGGTAAAAAGTAAAAAAAAAGTATTGGGTAAAAAGTATCCTATGTCCGTCTCCTGGTTCTAACCTACCTCCCCACCAGTTTTCATCTAAATCGATGTGGCCGTTCTTGAGTTATAAATAGTGTACCTAACACGACTTTCTTTTATATATATAATAGATAATTAATAGATCATTATTTTTTTTATGGGATAAGCCTGTAAACGAGTAGCGGTGGTAAGCAATCGTTGTCGCCCGTGGACTCTCGGAATATCAGAGGCGATACAAGTGCGTTACCGGCCTTTTGGGGATTAGGAATTTGAGGATTGTTGGGGATTCAGGGATTGGGAGATTGTGGAGGAGGGAGGAATTGGGCCTTCAGTAACCTTACTCACACGACGGAATAACGTTGTATCAAGTCGGTTTTCTGTAAGGCCGCGGTAGCATTTCAATTGAGCTGGCCCATTTGTGCGGAAGGCATAAATGAATGGCTCTCCTACACTTAAATATTTACATACAAATATGTATGTGTAGGTACATAAGATAACATTTACCTGCATACCTGTATTATGTAACAGGTAAAATATCTTTTACGAGTTACATATTCCACAATATAATAGTGATGACGAGTCAGTCAAAAATAGTTCCCACTGATAAATTGATCTATCTAATTTTAAACTTAGCAGAATATATAGAGGTACAGATACGTTAATTGCCACTTTCGGACCAGTGACCTCTTTCAGCACTAGCTATTATACGCGGTGTTAATCTATTCAATGAATTTTGCCTATATTATTCTGCATACTCTACTATACGTATGCATCAAGAAGATTGAAGATTTAACTCGTTGAGTACCGTCATTATAGACACAATTATAGAACAATAGGTTGCGGTCACCGGTGACCGCTTGGTGTTTGACAGTTACAAGTGTATATAAAATGTGATCAGGTAAAAAGCAACTAACAAAGTTACTTCGTATTTATACTACTAGTTGGATTAACGTCAGATGCAGATTTAGTATATGGTGGAGACTTCTTTGTATTTTCTTTGTGACAAAATTCTTTTCAAACAACGGATTAAGGAAGATTAAGCTTTCTCTGCTCTGCTGGACCACAGTGGATGAGAAATGCGAGGGATAGGGAAAACTGGAAATCTTTGGAGGAGGCCTATGTCGAAGGGCAAGCTGGAGATAAAAGTACTGATGTATAGTATAGACTAAATTGTTTTGTAACCTCAGTAAAAAGGCATATTTTATTTTATTTATTTATTAGCTTTCTCTATATACACTGTAAAATCTATTTCGTTTTTGTCCCGCGGCAAAACAACTTGCCATATAGGAGTAATTTTTTTTTCTTCTTTGGCAACCGAGTCTCCAATACGATGTTGTCGACTATACTGCCAGTTTTGGGTGGTGACGGCAGACAACTTAACTTTGCGGTTGTTTTACAGGAGAACTTTTGATGTATAAAGTATAAACAAGAAACATAAAGACGTCATTCTTTTTAAGTTTAAAAAAAATTCATGGAAATACAGACATGAAACACTAGACATAACCATGTAGGCACTATTCGCATGACGGCGACCTCTCGCGTCCGGCTCTGGTTCAGACCATGTTACAGAGCGAGGGGGACTGGGATGCCGTCTCCTCCTTCTGCGAAGCAGTCATGCTGCTAAGGAGGAGGCGGAGCGCGTGAGGGAACGAACCTCCTCACGACCCGGCCGTCGCGAGAGACACTCCGGGCGTCGGGGATCGCGAGACGATCTCCGGCCACCATAAGCACGGGCCTGCGGACGGCGAGTATGGGTGACTCGCCGCCCGACCAGAACCAGGCCCGAGCGTATGGCGCGTCGCGTTCCGCGCGCGCCTCAAGGAACCATCAGACCACCACAGATGGAGCCTAACAGGGCTGATGCCGATACGGAGCCGCGGAAGACTTAACGGGTTGCCGGGGCTCCGGCTCGAAGTGCAGGAGTAGGAACGGGGTGGTTTTCAGTCAGTAAGAGTCTGACACTCCCTCCCGCGTCACCCGGGCGGGAGAAGTCATTGGATGATTTTCCCCCCTCAAAAAAAAGGCACTATTCGCATCGCACGTGCTACCTGACGAGAAAATCCTCTACGAGAATTACATGACGTGATGTTTTGATAATGTACTATGAGTTCGTATGTGCTTTCGAAGTTTGCTTTTTGCAATGGTTCGTCAGTTATTCTTTGTTTTAAACATGTTATCTCTTTAATAATTGTATTGCCAAGACAGAAACATTTTACAACGGGACGGTAACTAATTGGATTTCGCGGCGTAGCATGGTGATTTAAAAATAAGCAGCTATAGGGCCGATTTTTCAATCATCAGTTAGGTAATTCTTAACTGTAGAACTAGGTAACCTGTACCAGTAAATACGTATCATCCCTAAAGTAGAAGTATTTACTTCTGAGTTTGAATAGTGCCAATCGTTGCAGTGAGTGCAACGAATTCGTTAAGTCGTGACCACGAACAGACGATTTGCTATCATAAGACACTGTTCGACGCACCGATCTTTAAAATTTTGTCGGTTTTGTATATTGCTTTGATATTTTCCTTAAAAATGCCTCAAAAAAAAAACAAAAACCCTTTTGTATAATGCTCCGGGTAATTCAACCGCTAATCTATTATATAGGGAAGCATTAACGTAATCAACTAGATACCAATATTACCAAATAAAAATATACTATAGTCAGGATCTTTATAGGCAAAAAAAAATACTATACCACCTTCTTGAGTGGAGTCCATATGTATACAGCCCACTGTTATCTAAACGATGTTGTTTTGTTTTCGACAACCACGCGAACGAAGTCGCGGGCGCAGCTAGCTGTAGAATAAAATTGATATTTAACAGTTCAAAACTTATTCCTCAGTTAAGAATTAACTGATGATTGAAACATCGGCCCTTAAAATGGTTTTAAATAATGAGGATACATTGTTTATAGTATTTATAATAATAACATACTAACATAAATTATTTATAAAATAAATAGTATAAATATGTAAACATATTGTTCATGTTACACATTTATTTGTATATTTCCGTTATAAGTTTATCATAAAATACTAATGTAGCTGTTTTTATACTTTTCCAATCAATTATTTTATATTTAAATATGGTTTAGCTTGCTATTAGAAACTGGGCATATCTCCTAAAGATAACCATCCAATATAAATCGGAAACTGAAATCAGAATCCTGCTTAGCAATCCTATAAATGAAAAACGTATTATACTGAAAAATAATATTATCAATTTAGCCTATAACTGAGACTAGTACCCATTGACACATAGGATAGCAGCGTCCTCTAAAAAACCTGGTCTTATAAATCACGATTTCTAACTCCTCTGCAAAGCGTGAAAATTAAAAAAAAAATCTATTATCTATTTTCTATTCCAGTGAGGGACTACAGACGTCTTTAACTACAGACTACAGAATCTGTCACTGGAATGGAATGGAATCGGTCAGTAATACTGGTATTGATAGAAATAGGTTGCTTATGGGAGGACGTGCTCCATCGAAGACCGCCTCGCTTACCACTAGGCGAGATAGTGGTCAAACGTCGCCCCATGAAATATAAAAAAGAGAAATAATGTAATACTCACCTAACTTCCACTTACACTTCTGAATAGATGCAACGGAGTATCCCAAACGATCTTCGTAGAAAATTATTAATTTTAATACATATTTATAAACATCAATAATCACTTCAATCTTTGTAATGTTTCAATTGTAAACGTATGTTTAATTTATCAATCACTCGGATTTAACACGATAAAATTTGGCACAGAGGTGCAGTATCGGTTAGCACAGATTCATTTTTATCCCAAATATATTAGCTCCAGTATATATGAACGCAGGCGAAGTATTGTATATTTTACAATATGTCATAAAATTCTAATTAATATATTTTATGTTATATATATTTATAACAATTTAAAGCGTGGTTTGAGTAACTCGTTCATCCTGTGTGGTGGACGACACTGTACTGAATTTACCTTAAAACTGTAATAACAATAACACAGCCATGAGTAATTATACAATAAAATTATATAAACGACATATCATTGTTATTGTCTATGTTTTCCTTCTAATGTAGTTTTAACAGGTGTTTTTGTGAAATTTTTCATATGGGTAAAGGGTTTTTTTTAAAGGGGGGAAAATCATCGAATTACCTACTACTACTAGGGGTAAAGGCGTAGACACATAATATGTTAACAGCTAGTTGCATTCATTATGTCAAATAACTTCTGCCTTTTATCTCTAATGTTCCCGTGGGATAAGAAGAAGCCTATCTGTTCTTCCAGACAATAATCTACTCCTGTTTCTTTCATCCCGATTCCTCAGTGAAAGAATAACAAACAAACAAACAAACATATTTTCGCATTTTTTGTATAGCATACGCGTAAACGAGCAGAAGGATCACCTGATGGTAAGCAATCGGCGTCGGCGGCGGTTACCTGGAACACCAGAGACGTTACAAGTGCGTTACCGGCCTTTTGGGGATTAGGAGTTTGAGGATCGTTGGGGATTCGATTGCGACCCATTCGTGCCGAAGCATTCCACACTATTTTTATTTATTTTAGTCGAATAGCCTGTGACACAAAATTCTTGTAACATTGATATACTCTATATAAGATAAGTGTTTCAAGTGTGGGAGAGCCATGCTTCGGTACGAGTAGGCTGGCTCGACCGGATTGATACCACGGCCTCACAGGAAACCGACTTGAAACAACGCTTGCGTTTTGTTTCGTCGTGTGAATGGCTTTACCGGAGGCCCAGTTACCCAATCTTACCGATCCCCGAATTCCCAACAATCCTCAAACTCCTAATCCCCAAAAGGCCGGTATCAGACTTGTAACGCCTCTGGTGTTCTAGGTGTCCATAGCGCCGATTGCTTACCATCAGGTGATCGGTCTGCTCGTTTACCGACTTATCCCATAAAAAAGTGAGTTTGCTATAATCTCCACATTAAGCATGCAGGTTGGAGATTGTAATATATTAGGTGCATGTTTATTAGAGAGCACTGCTGTCCAGTCTCTGTAGTATTAGATTTAGCTCCGTAGGAATCCTTGCACTCGAGGTGGGGCGACGTAAGCCATAAGCGATGTAGTCAATTAAAAAAAACCATTCCCAAATAGCTTTGTAATTAACATAATTAGATACAGGAAAACAAAAAATTCTGGATACCAGAGCAGATCAGACCGCCCTCTTATTTCTTTAATAGATTTTCAACTCTATTTCAATCGCAATAAGGTAAAAAAAATGTTGAAGAAAGCCAGTTTAATAGAGTAGCTTTCTGTGCTTCCATGATTAACATTAAACATTGTCATTAAGTTAGTCTGTTAATTGTTATTTATTTTAATGAGTCAGAAGGCAGGAGACTTCCTTCTCTAATTTGTTTGAAATTAAAAATTATGAACCTTAATTTAGGTACTGAAGTTTCAATTTAGATTAGAGGAAACATCTATCTAAGTAATGATTGTATTATACTGATCTCTGTCGATGACAAGAGACCCGACGGTATGTCATTATTCCCTTGGAAGATGGGTAGGGCTTTAGTATGGGACGCCACTTGCGTTGATACTCTGCCGCCATCCCATCTTCCAAGCTCAGTGTGTCGAGCCGGTGCTGCCGCTGCTGCTGCCGAGAACCTCAAACGGCGAAAGTATAATAGCCTGATTGGCAATTATGCTTTCGAACCGTTTGGGGTTGAAACTTTAGGGCCGTGGGGCCCAAGTGCACATCTTCTTTACAAAGATATTGTAAGGAGGATGGTTGACACTTCAGGTGATCGAAGGGCTGGCTACTACCTTGGGCAAAGGTTAAGCATTGCCATTCAACGTGGCAACGCTGCCAGTCTTTTGGGCACCCTACCTCACGGTAGCGATGAGGAAAATGTTTTCTTTGATGCCTTATGATTATGATTTTTTTTAAGGTGTAAATATTTTAGTTTTATTTTTTTTTATATTTTAAGTTGTTTATATTAATAGTCGCAAAGTACTATTATATAGACAATGTCAAATAAAATAATAATTTTCACTAATCTCTATAATTTAATTTTGTGTGTCCGACGTAGGGGATTGGTTCCAAGTCCTCAATAGATGCACTTGTATTCTTAAGAATATAGTTCAGTTACATTTATTTTGCAGCCTTAAAATAATGTTTATACTGCTTAAATATGTAAAAATGTCGCGGAGAACCTAACGGGTTACCGGGGCTCCGGCTCGACGTGCAGGAGAAGGAACGGGGTGGTTTTTAGTCAGTAAGAGTCTGACACTCCCTCTCGCCTCACCTAGGCGGGAGCAGTCATTCGATGATTTTCCCCCCTTAAAAAGAAAGTATGTAAAAATATATTTAAGATCTGTATAAACAAAGGTATAAGAATCGCGCGATGGTAAACAGTCTGAACCTGTATCAGAGAGATCACAAATCGCCGATCATATAGAAAACTATTTCGTTACTTTAAGTTTTAAAATTTGCCTCATTGGCCGAGTGATCGCAAGTGCGACTGCCGGGCAAGGGGTCTCGGGTTCGATTCTCGAGTCGGGCAAAAGATTACTGGGTTTTTTAAAATAAAATCTCAACACGGAGTCTGGAATTGTGCCCGGTATATGGCAATAGGCTCATCTCCTATTACATGGGACTCATAACTTAAATAGTAAAAAGTGGGTGTTAAATTGTACAGTGGCACTAAGAGCTGCAATGTGCACCTCTACGCCTTCGGGGATAAAAAGGCGTGATGTAATGTTATGTTTTAAAATCTTTTTACCAAAAAATTATCGTACCTTACATTACCTTTGTTCGTTCATATTCCAGCCATAAGTTCCTCTAATCATCTGAAAGCATAGATAATAAACAACGAACTTTTCACAGAAAAGCCAAGATACGTTTAGTAGCGAATCTGTATTCGAGGTGAACGGTCGTGTGGCAATTTTTTTGGCGCGCTAATAACGTTGTGTCGAAACTTTTTACAGTGATGTGATTCAGTGGATTTAGTTTTTAAAAACAATGATTTATATGTGTACCAGTGTACATTGAAGTTAGGATTGTTAAAAGGTGAGTAAGCACGTTTATTATGGATCTTTCAGTGTGTTCGAAAGGCTTATCGGATTTGTTATTGGTGAAATAACGTGTGTTGGCCTTAGATAAGAACTACCTTTTAGCACGTTGGAGATTTTATATGAGTTTTTCGAACGAGAATTTCGAGGCTTCCTTTCGGAAAATTAAGGCGAACCTATTAATTGTTTACTTATTGTGTTGTAGAAATTAAATTTCAAATTCACTGCTTTATTTACTGAGTCGCGCATCTTGTCTATTTTCATAACAGATGATACTTAAGCAATTCTTCTCTAAAGGTTCTATATAATTTAGTAACAACTTCAGTTTCTTTGCACCAATATAGGTCTCAGGGTTCGAACCAAGTGACCTACGTAACAAAAACCTATTCTTAAGTAAAGTTACACTTCTCAAGGGCTTTAGTACCTCTAAAAACTTCTTGATTGTTAAATTATAGGGGATTTGAAACTTCGAACTCAGTTAAGGGACGTTTCAAAGTTCGAACTAAGTTTTTAGACGTTAAAAATTGAGGATAGCGTTGCGAATATTGTGATTAATAGACATCGCTCTTTTAGGGTAGTTGTCGCAACTAAGAATAAGAATAAGATACTGCTGAGTATGAGGGATTCTAGTGTCAAAATTCCTTTAAAAGATTATCATCTTTAATGTAATCTATTAAGGTTGAATTGGGATTATAGGTTGGGGTATTTCGATGTGCTGGTTGTCTGTGTTTTGTAAGGGTGCATTTTTCTCTTTCTGTAATTTGATTGGTAGTTTGGTGTGACCTCTTCAATGGTCGAATGATTGACTGCCTATGAAGAGGTTGGACTTCTGGGTCGATCAAACTATTTATTTGAGATTATTGATTTTTTAAAAATACTAATTAACTAGAGAATACTGATAACAGTAGCAGTCTTGATTTGTATGACTATACCCATCCATATTCCTAAACTAACCCCATATTGCGCAGAACATGTAAAGTAACTGAGGATAAATTGTATAGTTTTTATTTTTAAAGGGGGGAAAATCATCGAATGGGTGCTCCCGCCTGGGTGAGGCGGGAGGGAGTGTCAGACTCTTACTGACTAAAAACCACCCCGTTACTACTCCTGCACTTCGAGCCGGAGCCCCGGTAACCCGTTAGGTTTTTCGCGGCAAATTGTATAGTCTGGGCCTTCATTTTTATCTGCTTCATCATGGATCTCTCTCACAAAGGTGGAGATGTTATGTAATGTATAACATTATGATTACTCCATGTTATCATTAGATAAACATAATATAAATCCCCATTTACGTATGTCCAGTTTTCCAGTGTTTATCTATATTGACATTGACGTCGTATGGATAACGTTGGGTACTTTTATGCAGCCTCCTTGACCGAATTTTATCATGGTTGATAATTAGAACACTTTTTCTTTTTTGAAAATGTTGTTGTCATTGTGAGCAATGATTTCTGAACTTGCTGCGGTTTCATGAATACGTTTGAGTGCGAGTAGGTGAAAAATTGTGATTGAACTTCCTTTGAAATTCATGACCATCGTTTTTCTTTCTTAAAAATACATAACATAACATCACGCCTTTTATCCCCAAAGGGGTAGGCAGAGGTGTACATACATCATGCCACTGTACATTGTAACTCCCACTTTTCACTAT